CAAAATCATCTCTTATACAATGAGGCAAAATTGGATGTCTGTGTCGTATCTTTTCAGAAGCAAAATCAAACTTAAATGGAAAAGGATCGCGAGACAGATTGCTTCTATCACAGAGAATCTAAGTAATTGAAACACTGGTGAAATAAGCTGAGATGTGAGAGTGAGTATCCCTGAAAATTTGCAACTACAAGTTCGTTAGAGGGCCTATATCCAGCCAAGACTCCAGAGCTGAAAGCTAGCAATAATAGAAACTAATGTGAAAGTCTGCTTGTACATTTCCTGCTGTGTTTGTGGTGACGAGGAGATATTGCTATAGGTAATGTTTCTGCCTCTTCTTCTTTATGTAGGCACTTGCTTTTGTAAAGAATATATTAACATCAGTTCTTTCTTTTTTGTACGTGTTTATAATGGGATGATGACATTTTTTCATTGTTTGGAGCAGGATGATTTCATCTTGCTAATTTCCTTCTAGAGCAGACAGTTGTTGAATTGAAACCAAGAGAAAGTTCTGTTGGTAAAATTTACCACTTACTAGGTTTGTCTTACCAATTTCATTTGCTTTCTATAAGAAATCCATTAACACGTAACTTCAGACTTCTTTTTGCACGTCTTTATTGGGATTATGGATTTTTTCTAATAGTTTGAGGGAGTACTAGAATCAGTGGATCCGAAGGTTCACTCTCAACAGCGTCATCACTATCTATGTTACAGTTTGATGGCAATTCTATGTGAGAGTTAAATTTTGCTTTGAGTATTTAAATTCAATAAAGGCTTACTGATGAAAATAATTGAACCGCTTGACCTCTGGTTTCTTTTTAGGTAACAAAGACTGCACAATATGCAACTCTTTCACCTTCTCTTCTCAAGAAGTGAGCCTTGGTCTAACGATTTCGAGTTCAAGGTTAGTTGGCTTTTCATTTATTGCTATATTATATATGAGGAATGTGCTGCGTATAGAATCCTCAATATTTTTGCATTGCATAAAAAAAGAAGAGATGCCAATGACTTGCCCGCCAACTCCCTTCTGACCATTTTTGAAATGCTGGTATTCTGAAAGCATTATCTATTGCATACATGATTCTATATGTTAAAGTTTCTTTAGTTTTTATTTTTATATTTTTGCATATCTTTATCCTCAATGCTTCTTTATAACAGTGGTTTATTTAACTAGTTAGCTGTGAATGGAGTCGACCAACGCTTGCTAAGTAGTGGCTAGAGTGATTGGGAGAAGTGCCTGGAGAGCTAAGCTGGTTGGAAAACGCCTTTGCTTCTTTCAAAATCAATATCAAAGGTGCCATCTTGGCCATTCTTGGAGGTGTTTGAGCAGGGGCTTCAATTCTAGCCTTTAGGCCTTTACTTAATTAACCCAAACTCTTAAAAGGACCTAAATACAAAGGTTCTTTCATAATGTACATATAGAGAAGACATTTGGGGCACTATTCTAGGATTTACTATTTGTTACATTTGGGTGCTCCAACTACTTTTTTTGCTCTGTGGATGCTGCAACTACTGTAGTCTTATCTTCCCACATCATAGTAAAATCTCTCCCACCCTTCGACTGTGGATGTAGGCTATTAAGTCAAACTTTGTAATTTCTCGTGTAGGGGTGTGCATGGTCGGTTTCGGTCGGTTTTGGGTCGGTTTTTCGTCAAAACCAATCAAAAATTTTTAGAATATAACCGATCGAACCGCCATGATATAAAGTCAATTTCGGTCGGTTTTTTAGAATGTTCAGGTTTCGATCGGTTTCGGCGGGGGAATCGGGACTCGTGGGAGGGGATCCACAGTCGGGACTCGTGGAGGGGGGGGTCGGGAGTCGGGACTCGAGTGGGGGGGGGGGGAATCGGACTCGTGGAAGGGGGGCCGAGGGGAATCAGGTCTGGGGGCCGGGGCGTTTGGAGTTGAGACTAGTGGGAGGGGGGGGCGGCGGGAGAATCAGGTGAGTCGGGAGAGATTGGGAGGGGGATTTTGTTAGGTCGGCGGTGGGGAGGGAGAATTAGGTAGGACCGAGTCGGGGGTTCGAGGGAAGTACTGAAGTGCTGTGCCTTTGCTCTCTTGTGCTATTCGGGTGATACTGTTTCATTTGCGGTCGGGCGCAGGGACCCATGGGTCACCTTGAATAGTTCGGTTTTTTTGATCGGTTCGGGGGGAAGGATTCCCCCCCACGACCGAGCCGATCTGCCGACGAGGCCGATCGGCACAATCGACGGTTGCAAAAACAACCGTCGGTTACAATAACCGACCGTTGCCCAGCCCTATTCTCGTGTGTGTTTTATTATGCTAGATTGTTTGCTTGCTATTTATCATCAAATTTGGTTTGCTTTGGTTTGTTATTTTTCACTAGGATATTTGTCAAAGGTGTAACTATTCTTATTAGTAATCAATTAATTATTAATCATCAAGTTGCCAATATATTTCCATTGTTCCTAATTTAAACATTGTTGTTCCAAATTTCCTATAAATACTCATATGGGACGTCTCTGACCCAACTTTTCAAATATTTTTCCATCTTTCCTTATAGAGTTTCCATATAAGCATCATCATCTAGCGCTAGAGTTGGTTTGATTTCTGACTTGCTCATCTTTTAATTCAACAAAACCTACTCTTCCATTTTATTTTCCTTCATTTTCCCCACTTTTCTTTTAACTCAAAGAACAAAAGCATCTCTGTAGTGTGTTGTTTAACTCTGCAAAAAAAAAATCAGTAATGTTTTAATTATTTAAGATTTTGGAGTTTGAGATATTAATATTATTTGTTAATATCAGTAATTTTTTTATAAAAAATAGAAAGAAAAGAAAAGTAAAGGTGAGACTAATAGTTTCATAAGGCAAAATTTTAAAGCTCTTGTCTTCCGTTAAGGATTTGAAATTAAATAAAAAAAAGATTTATATTTGATGTACTAACTGTGCACAGTTTTTATACATTGTAAGTTTACCAAATGATACTATATCATTAACAAATAAATATAAGAATTTGTAAAGTTTTTAAAATAAATATTAAAGGAAATTTGATAATTAATTAAACAAATATCATGAAGGCATAATCAAATAAAAACGTGCACAGTTTGAGTGATTGGGAGAAGTGTCTGTAGCTGAGCTGGTTGGAAAACCTCTTTGCTTCTTTCAGAATAAATGTCAATGGATCCATCTTGGCCATTCTTGGAGGTCTTTGAGCAGTGGCTTCAATTCCAGTCTTCAGGCCTTTACTTAATCAGTCCAAACTGTTAAGGGGACCTAAATACAGAGGTTCTCCCATAATATATATGGAGAAGACTTGTGGAGGATTCAATTTTTGCTAGTCTTTATATCCTGGAATTATCAAATGGCAATGGTGGCTTATTGACACTGTCTAACGGTTTTGATCCAGGTGGTTGTTTTGGTTGTTTATTTTCGTTGGGCTGATGCAGCTTGCAGTATTGATTTTCATTGCTATGATGCAGCTTGCCGTCCCTTGCTTTGTGTTGATGTCTATTATGCTATTAATGAAACTCAACATGATTACTACATTTGGTTTTGATGCAGGTTTCTGTTTTGGTTGTTTATTTTCATTGGGCTGATGCAGCTTGCGGTATTGATTTTCATTGCTATGATGCAGCTTGCCGGCCCTTGCTTTTTGTTGATGCCTATTCTGCCATTAATGAAACTCAACATGATTACTACATATGGTTTTGATGCAGGTTGTTGTTTTGGTTGTTTCTTTCCGTCGGGCTGATGCAGATGGTTGCCCTGGTAGGTCTGATGCAGCTTGTGGTATTGATTTTCCCTTGCTATGGTGCAGCTTGGCGCCCCTTGCTTGTGTGTTGATACGGTTTATAGTTCATGTGTATGATGTTTTGCAGGGATTTAGGTTGCAGACCCAGGTGTAACTATTCTATACTTTGATAGGAACCTTTGATTTGAGGCGGTATATGTAATTGACAGTCATGTAGGTGTTGATTTTGTTGCAGACAGATCCACCTTCAGGCTGGTTGCCCCCAGCTTTATTTACCCATTTGGGGTATAGCCAATAGAAATCTTATTATGATTGATTTGCTTTTCTATTTATATTTTTCATTAAATTATTTGTCAAAAGTAGGTTTATTCGATTATTAAAACCAATTTTATTTCTAGTTAAAGCTATTAATTAAACTCAACATGATTACTACATTTGGTTTTCTGCAATTTATCTTTGCCTACACAAATATCATATTCATGGAGGCAGAATCAAATAAGGTTATCTTTGCCCATTTTTCAGAAATATTGTATTACAAAAATCATCTTATTCCATTGTCAAATTAGTTTTAAATATTTTTATGTAAAATATTAAAAAGGTTAATTTTAAATCGAATAATAGTTCTTTAATTATAAAGTAAATGTACCAGAATGGGAATACAAATATATGAAGTTGAAATAAATATTGTTAAAATAGAAGTTAATCATTTACAAATATTAACATAAATGTATAATGATAAAGATAGAATAATTATAGTGAAAATTATCCATTTAAACATCTTGATTTAAATTTATAAAAATATTCGTAAAAATTCATTAAATTAAAATAAAAATTGTTAAATATTGAGATAAATATGTAAGAGTTTTGGTGAAATAAATATTGTTAAAATATTTACGTAAATAGATAAGAATTATCGAACAAGTCATTCAAGACAAAATATACAAATTTTTAGAGAAAATTAATCATTTGTGTTTATATTTTTTAGTAAAAATATTTAAATATTTATGAATTTTAATTTATAAATATATAATAATATCAATAAAAATTTATAATAAAAATTAGCCAATGAAAAATCTTAATGTAAATTTATAGACATAAATATAAAAATCATGAATATGAATAAATATTGTTACAATATTAACGTAAATATGTGAAATTTATCTTAACAAGTCAATTAAAATAAAATAAACATAATTTTTTGTGAAAATTCATTAGTTTCATTTGTATTTTTAACATAAAAATATTTAACGATTTATAAATTTTAATTTATAAATAAAAAATAAAAAATTATAAAAAAATTAATCATTTAAAAATTTTAACGTAAATTTATAAATATATATGTAAAAAATCATAAACATAAAGTAAACATTGTTAAAATATTATTGTAAACATGCGAGAGTCAATTTAAACAAAATAAATATACTTTTAATAAAAATTAATCATTTTCATCTATACTTTCAAACAAAAATTATTTAATAATTTATAAATTTTAATTTAGAAATAAAAAATAAAAGGTTAAAAATAATTATAAAAAATTAACCATTAAAAAATCTCAACATAAATTTATAAAAATTAATATAAAAATTAAAAATGTGAAATAAGTATTATTAAAATATTAAAGTGAAAGTTACAGTAACAAGTTATAGTAGTAATTTTAACTAAATTAAATTAGTTAGATATAACTTTAATATTAAAAAAATTTATATTTTAAGATAAAAATAAAATAACATTAACAAAAAATAAATAAGTTTAAAATTTCGGTATTTATATTATTAACATATAATTGTAAGTTTAAAAATTATTTATGTTGTTAATAATTTTTATTATTCTTTAAAAAATGAGTAAATGATAAAATTATAAACATCGATTATAATTTTAATAGTTTATATATAAAACTAAAAAGATTCGTTTCATTTTAAATTATATAAATATATATATATACATATTTTAATTTATAAAAAAGTCTTTTTTGTTTTACTCAAGCGTGTTTTTATTTGATATATAGATAAGGTGAATTTCACCAAAAAGTCAATAAAATTGATCAATCTGTAGCCCTCAGATTTTGAGGGTTTTATTTCAGCCGTCGACAAAGGAAAAAATCACAACCTATTAACTTAAAAGCAACAGGTTTATCTAAAACCCAAGAAAAACCAACTTAGGGAAAAAATTCAGGGAGATACCGATCAATATGGATCAACCGAGAGCTATGGCGGAATCAATTTTATACGGAGCAGTGAGTAACATCTTGTCCCTGTTGGCGTCAATTGCTGGGCAAGATGTTGGCTTGAATTTCGGGCGGAAAAAGGAGCTGGAGAATCTTGGAGGGACTCTCACCACCATTCACGCCGTCCTTCTGGATGCTGAGGAGAAACAGAAGAGCGATCTTGCCGTGAAAGAATGGATGAGTTGGCTGGAAGACGTTGTCTACGATGTAGACGACTTACTGGACGAATTCCACTGTGAGATCCTGCACCAGAAGACGCTTGCTCGGAGACAGGTACGCAAGTTCTTTTCATCCTCAAACCCTCTAGCATTTGGTCTTAAGATGGGTCGAAGAATTAAGGAGACTAGAGAGAGGCTGGACGCGGTTGCAGCAAATATTTCTAAGTTTAAGTTGAGTTCGAGAGTTGCAGCAGATATGATACCCAAGAATGTTGATAGGGACACTGCCTCAAAAGTGAGATCGCAAATAATAGGGAGAGAGCAAAATAAAGAGGACATCGTGCACACGTTGTTTCACTCTGGATCATCAATTCTTGTTATTGCTGGAACTGAAAGTGTCGGAAAGACCTCGCTGGTCCAATTGGTGTTCAATGATGCAAAAATAAAATGCTTCTTCAATGAACGGATATGGGTATGTGTTTCTGAAGAATTTGATGTGTCTATAATTTTTAAGAAAATGTTGAAGTCTCTTCAAGTAGATTGTAAAGTGGATGATTTGGATTTACGACAATTACAAATACAACTTCATAATAATTTAAAAGGGAAGAGATATTTGCTTGTGTTGGATGATGTGCGGAACAAAGACAATACAAAGTGGGATAAGTTTTCACAATATATGCTGTTTGGTGTTGACGGAAGTAAAATTCTTGCAACAACTCGCAGTGAGAGGGTTGCAGTTACTATGGGAGTCAACGCTCCTGATCGTTTACGACCTCTCAATGAGGATCAATCTTGGGTTTTGTTTGAGCATGTGGCATTTAAAGGACAAGGCCAAATTGATTCAAATCTTAGAGTAATTGGAAGGGATGTTGTAAGAAGATGCAAAGGAATTCCTCTTGCTATCAAATGTTTGGGAGGTTTAATGAGGCAAAAGATTAATGAAGAACATTGGTCGTTTGTCCAAAAAAAGCTACTCACTGATGATAGTGTTTTCTTGATTTTAAGATTGAGTTACATGCAGTTGCCAAGTCATTTAAAACAATGTTTTGCTTTTTGTTCGATTTTTCCAAAAGACTTCAAAATATATAAAGACAAGTTGATCCATTTATGGCGAGCGCAGGGTTACATTCAATTACAGATTGAAAATGAGAATATACAGGACATTGGTGATGAATACTTCAATGATTTACTATCAAGATCATTTTTTCAAGAGGAGGAGTATGATGCCTATGGGAATATTGTTAGTTGTAAGATGCATAATCTTATCCATGATTTTGCATCATCTGTTGCAAGTCGTAGTTTTTATCGGATGAAAGATGACAAAGAAGATATTCCAAGAAGTGCCCGTTATGTGTCACTAGAAAAAAATTCCAAAGAAGTTGCTTTGACTTTGTCGAAAATAAAGGGGATAAGGACTATGTTTTTTCGGACACATGTTTACGAGGATTTATTCATTCGAAATGCAACCTTTTTGTGCTTCAATTGTTTACGTATGTTGAATTTGAGTCAAATGGGTATTGAAATCTTACCAAATTCAATTGGTAAATTGAAGCACTTGAGATATCTTGATCTTTCTTGTAATGATATGATGAAAATACTCCCAAATGGTATAGTCAAATTGCACAATTTGCAAACTTTATTACTCTATTCTTGCAGCAGACTTAAAGAGTTACCAGGAGATATACAACAGTTGATTAGTTTGGAATATCTCAATATTGATGATTGCTATGAGCTAAAGTGCTTGCCGAAAGGGATAGGAGAATTGACTTCGCTACAAAGACTGGACAGATTTATTGTGAACAGCAGTGTTGAAAAGAGTTTCTCAACTGCAGCCACGTTGAATGAGTTGAGGGACCTAAATGACCTTGGAAATTGCTTGCGTTTTGAAAACTTAGATAAGGTGAGGGATGTGGAATTAGAATCTAATGAGGCAAACTTAAAGGAAAAGAAACGGATTCAGTCTTTGCGATTGCATTGGGGCCCCCTTGCAAGAAGGCGCATTGAAAAGGATAAGTTGTTGTTGGATAATCTTAGGCCACACCCGAATTTGAAAGAGCTGGTGGTACACGGGTATGAAGGACCAAGCTTTTCAAGTTGGCTATCATCCTTGAACAATTTAGTGAAACTTGATATAGACTATTGTTGGAATTGCCAATACCTGCCACCCTTGGATCATCTTCCATCTCTCAAGTCTCTTATTCTTCAGCGGTTCAATGTTTTAGAATATGTGACAGATTCTTTCCTCTTGCCTTGTTCCACACCAAGAACATACTTCCCAGCACTTAAGAAACTTGAGATCCGAGAGTGTCCTACATTCAAAGGATGGTGGTGGCCAACCGCTGAGCGGCCTTGCTTTCCTTGCCTTTCCAAGTTAGAAATCCGCGCCTGTCCAAAGTTAACCTACATGCCACTGTTTCCATCTCTCGACCAAGATTTGACTTTGATTGGAACTAGTATAAGGGTTTTGCAAGAAACATTGAAGATGAAGCTGACCGAGGCTAGCATGACATCAGAAGCATCATTATCATCAGTGACCCTTCCCCTCTCCAATTTGAAGTCTCTGACTCTTATTGACATTAAGGATCTAGATGGTCTGTCAGAAAAGTTTCTGCAAAATATCACTTCTCTTACGCACTTAACATTAAAAGACTGCCCGAATTTGGAATTGCTGCTGTCGCAAAAGATGAACTGCCTCACCACTTTACAAGAATTGTCGGTTATCAACTGCCCTTTACAAGAAGCGAGCCTGGGTCTAAAGATCTTGAATTCAAGGTTAATTGTCTTTTCATTTAGTGCTCAATTATATATGAGGAATTTGCTGTGTATAGAATTTTCAATACTTTTTCATTGCTCTAATGTTTAAGATTTTCATTTTCCATAGAAAAAGGAGAGATGCCAATGACTTGTGCCAACACTCCTCCGGTCACTACTGAAATGCACAGGTATTCCCAAAGCATTATCTATTTCAAAAATGATGACTATATGTCAAAGATTCTTTAGGTTTTTGTTCTTGATTTTTTGCCTATCTTTTTCCTTAATAGTTGCTTATAACAATGGCTTTTTTGACTAGTTATCTGTGAATGGAGGCAAGCAACATTTGCTAAGTAGTGGCTCAAGTGAATGGGAAACGTCAAACGTGCCAGGAGCTAAGCTGTATGGGAAACCCCTCTACTTCTTTCAAAATCAATGTCAATGGATCCATCTTGCCCTCTCCTGGATGTGGTTTGAGCAGTGACTTCAATTCTAGCCTTTAGGCCTTTACTTAATTAAAGCAAACTGTTTAGCGGACCTTAATACAAAGGTTCTTCCATAATATATATGGAGAAGATTATTGTCAGTATTTTATTGTGTTGGGTTGTTTGCTTGCTGCTTATCATAAAATTTGGTTTGCTTTCGTACCTACATTTTTTATAGGTTATTTTCTTAAAGGTATGGCTTTTTCACAAGAGAATATTGAAGAATTTCCTGAAAACTTTTGGATAATATTCAAGGATTATCTATTTGTTACATTTTTTGTACTGCTAAAATCTTTTATACCCTCGCTTAAACTAAATTTCTTGTGTTTTTATTCTATTTGATTGTATATTTTGTTAGTTTACGTATTTATACAAATTGGTTTATCTCAAAAAATATCAAGTAAAACTAAAATATATATATATATTTCAATTTTAATCAATTAAGAAAGATTATTAAATCGAAGTTACTCATTTCCATGACAAGTGCTATTAATTAAAAATATTTCCTACTTAAAATTTGACAGTAATTACAAATATTTTGTTTTTTTTTTAAATAAACACGAAAAGTTGGAGTCAAAATTTTCCAGCTCGAGAGTCCCTCGAAGCTTCTGCTCGTTTTTCCACCCAAAAGTTGAGCTAAGATCTTGCCAAGCCCTTGACGCCAACAGGGCCAAGATGTTACTGCCTGCCCCGTATGAAATTGATTCCGCCATGGATCTACAACTTGGTTGAAGCAAAGCATGAGCTATAACCTGGCATATATGATTGGCGTTCAAGAAATTACCAGTAAACGGAGTCAAATGGTCAGAGTCCAATCTAGGACCGCACATATCCTTCAATTCTTCATCCTCCTGTCTTTGTTGTTGGTCTTTTCGTTACATTGGGTTTATCCTCTAAAGCATAGTACATATACAAGCTTCACATGTTAGAATATAATAATAATAATCTGTCAGGAACAAGAAACATAAAGAAAAGAGGGGGTGAGAAGGAAGTGGGAAAAGTGGGTAGGGGACTTTAAATCATAAACATATAAAGGTAGAAAATATATTTTCTGTTACCTCACATCACTGCCTTCAGGGGAAATGCAAATAGATAAATAACCTTGAACGTGATGCCTTAATGAAAAAGAACATAGAACAAGCTCAAGCAATTAGTAAACCAGAAAAGGAAGAAAGATTGATAGAGAAAAGATTAAACTTGTGGCAAAGCTATGAAAAGATGCAGTATTCGGGAAATAATTCTATGTTAGAAGCAAGATAAATTTACGAAGTGATAACTATTGATATGTATCTGCAACATCAAATCGATCAAAATGTAACAAAATGGTTTGGGTCGAATAATGACACAATCAAATTCTCATACAAGAAAGTATCAATTTACATATGATCAAGCATCAACAAAGACATGCCTCCTGCCCAAGTCAACTTCAGTGCAATCAACCTTTGCCAAAAGAATACGCCCATCTATTTCTGGATCATATCTGTGGAAGGGTGCAAAATTTATTGCTAAATCAAGAAGCTATTTACAAATTTATTCCATGGAAGAGAAATGATGTATGCTCAGACCTCTCTTTTATTTTCTTGGCTGCTTTCTCCCATGACGCTTTCTGTTTATAGACTTGTTTTACCATGACTCTCCCCTACGCCTTGGAACTTCTTCTTTTCTCTGTTTATAGACTTGTTTTACCATGGAACTAAACAAGTCTGTTTGGTGAAGGGGGACAACGCTGCAGCGCTGGGAGTGTGGCGCTGCAGCGTTGATGCTACTGCTTGGTGAAGGGGACAGCGCTGCAGCGCTGGGAGTGCGGCTTGGTGAAGGGGGACAAAGCTTAAAAAGTTTTATCAATCAAATCTTTAGACAAAAATGCCTCTAAACCTTATCCAATACTTAACAATGCAATTAAAAAAAAATGAGGTACACTGTGTGAAATATAATAAGATTGTAGGAATATTGGGTTCCCGTTGCCACACAATTTCCATAATTAGTTTGCTAGAAATCATTCAAAATTTAGATAGAAATTGTCTATCTTGGATACCATGCAACAATAAACAACACCATTTTTTTTTCCATGCTTAGTATCAAACAAGGTTATAATCAGTAGTAGCTTAGCCAAATAGATTATACAAAGTTCAGACCGACCAAAACCAGGGTATGTTACTAGATTGGCTGGAGATAATCTTCAATACGATATGTGGAAACAGGAAGGATTTAGCAGTAACTGTTCATTGCATGTCAAATCTGTTTATACTTTCATACTTTGATTAATATCAACAATAACAACATCAAAACTATATAACTGAAAATCATAAATGAAGTTCTTTGATTAATACTTTAACCAAAAGTCATAAAGTTATAATAAAACCAAAGTTGAAGTCACTTAAAGGATAGATCCATCATTATTAAAATACAAAAGAGTTTAAAGTTAATAACACTGCTAAAGTTTACCTTAAATTGATAATTAGTTCTTTGCAATAACAATACCCATCATTGCTTTAGATTGAACCATTAAGCAAAGCCTTCACATAAAATTTTAAAATTTTATTAATTTATTTTTATATTTTAAAAATTTTATAACTTTATTTTTTAAAATATTAAATTTTTTATTCTCCACCTTCCGAGCATAAAATTTTGACTTTACTAAGGAACTAAATAGAGTTGTTTATTTTATAAAAATTTTATATATGATTGTTAAACTCTTAATTTTAAGATCAACATTATATTACTTGATTACATATTAATATATGTTGTTTTATTGTATGTTGAAATTTTTGTTTCTCAATTTTAAATTGTTATTTAGAATTCAAAAATATAAATTTTATTTATTTATTAACATAAAATGAAGGTAGAGCCTTTTTTTTTTTTTATCATAGCATAGGTATTCAAGTAATGCAGGCCTTGATATAACAGGAAGGGCCAATGGAGAATACATTGATCTTGTTGCCTCTGAATTTTATCATATATAGTATATTTTCAATTTTGATAATTTTGACATGCAATTGCAAAAAAATCACACACCAATGTAATTAACCATGGCTTCAACTTTCTTCAAGTTGCTTAGTGTGTCTTTGTTAGCAGCAATGGTATTTGCTAGATTTTTAGATAAACATTAATTTATTAATACATATATAACAAAGGCCAAGTTGGGTTAATTTTTTTTAAAAAAACATAATATACAAAAATATTTTAAAATATTTAAAAAATTCAAATAATCTCTTTTTTAATTCTATTTAATTAAGTTTTTATATTTTTATTTTAAGTCAAATAAATTTTTATATATTTTATTTTTAATTTAATAATAATTTAATTAAAATATTATTTATTATTTTATGTCGTATGACACTGACGTAATATGATAAAATATCATAATTGATTATGATATGACATACTAATATATCATAATTAATCTTGACATGATATGTTAATTTGACATCATAATATGATCATGTAAAAATTTTTTACTTTTCACATTAATGTTATATAAATATAAAATGACAAGTAGTATTTTTACTAATGATAATTAATTAATCATTAATTATAAAAATTTATTTGACTTTAAATAAAAATATAAAACTTAATTAAATGTAATAAAAAATAAAAATTTATTTAAATATCTTTAAATAATTTAAGAGCTTATTTTATTTGATCATTATGAAAAAAAGAAAAAAGAAAAAGAAAGGACATGCAATGAATTTACGGACAGAATTTTTGATCTACCATCAACTTTGCCCCTAGTATCCGATGTGGCAGAGTTTAAGAGAACAGCTCTCCTATTTTTCCGCATTTTAAGCCTGCTGTTACCCGCAGTAGATTGGGGCCTGAAGTAAAAATTTTAAAATATATATAAAAAGGGGAAAACCCCGGATAAAACGCAGGAGAGTTAAGTAGTTCACGACTTGGCTCGTCTCTCACTTTTTTTTTTACACTGAAAAAAGGTTAATTTTCCATTGCCAGATCTCTTGGGATTTAAATTTTTTTCTTTGAAGTCTGATTGGGATTGGTTCATCGCAGCCATGATTTCTTCAAGCAAGATCAAGTCCGTCGATTTTTACAGGTTCAGATCGATCTCCCTTTTCTCTTTCGAAATTTTTCGTGGATCTAAAGCATTTAATAGGAAAAAAGGCACAAATGAAAACCGTTTCCTGTTAGCATTGCATTATATCCATTTGAATCATTTCGGTGATTTTTTTTGTTTGATTGCGAAAATTTTTATAGTAAATTTGTTGAATGAGCTGAATTTGTTATTGAGGTTTAAGGACATATACGTGACTGAGTCATCTGCTGAATTTCTTAGTTAAAGTTCTTTTTTTTTTTGTTTAGGATTTCTGTTGTGCGGTTAAGGAAATGTTATAATGATTATCATGTTTTTGTCGATTATGCTTTCCTTTTTTATACAGGAAAATCCCGAGAGATTTGACAGAGGCGTCGTTATCCGGTGCAGGGTTATCTATAGTAGCAGCACTCGCCATGATGTTTTTATTTGGAATGGTAGGCAGCCTTGCTGTTTACTCCAATTTTGATTTGATATGATGTGCTTGGTGTCTAGGTTGACATTTCATCCCAAACAGCATTTCTCCAACTTCTTTTTATCTTATTTTTTGTTGCCATTTCTTTTTCCTTTCTCTGATGATACTTATCAGATTCGTTGTAGTTTATAAATTAAGCTGCTGCCTTGCTATGAACCAACTGTGATAGATGACATTGATTTTGCAGGAATTGAGCAATTATTTAACAGTCAGCACCTCTACATCTGTTATTGTTGACAAGAGTTCTGATGGGGAGTTTTTACGCATTGATTTTAACATCAGGTGCTTTTTTTCTGTAGCAATGTTACCATTTGACCTTCTCAGTTGGTTGAAAGCTTTTTGGTATTTAATTCTTAGCCTTTCTGTGGCAATGTCTTAGCTACGATCTTGACTTATGAGCTGTTTTTGTCTCGTATCATCCTCGTGTCATTTATTAGGGACATTAAAAATAGGTTAGTTAATCTTTTGTTCTGTAAACGTTAGCCTTGAACTTTTGTTGGCATAATTTTTTTCCTGTTATAGTCTTTGTCTCTTCATGTATCAATAAGTGAAAAAAATAGGGCATAGCTTGAGTATGTCTAAGTGTGTGCATCCTGTATATGAACTTGTGCATTAACATGGATGAGTCTTGGCATGGATTCTGATATTAGCTGTTTGTTGCTAATATGATTGGAGGTGCAGGTGAACTTATGTCCAATCAGAGGCAGAGGGCTTGTTTCTGTGTAGATTGAGCATGTGGTTATATGGATTATTACTGCTTATCTTTATTTGTACATTGATGGACACATTACTGTAATGGGCAGGATTGGCTTGAAATTTTTGAATTTGAAGTCTTGAGAAGATGATGATACTTAAGTTTCTACTCTATCTCATATTTGTTCTCAATTGAGCTTAGCATGAAAAGAGACCTCTCATGCACTAAGGCTCCAAATTGTGTTGCAATATTCTTGCTTGACTACTAAATAAAGAATGAGATTTCATTGTATTGTGACTCTTAGGGTACCTTATGCTACTTTTGAGTTTTCCATACAAATTTTTTTAAAATTGTTTGATTTATGTTGCTACATGTCAATTACCACCCAGTTAAGCATTAATCCATGCATTTATTTGGACATACTTTTATGGGTTTTCTTTCAAAACTGTCATAGGTTCGGTGGAACTCTCTTTTTTGCTAAACTGTCAGTGATCTCAATATGCATGTTTCTTTTCATTTCTGCAATATCCTTGAGCATTCAAGCTTTATTTTAATGATATATAATCAAGTTGGCTGACTATTCCAATTGATCTGCAGTTTTCCAGCGCTCTCATGTGAGTTTGCTTCTGTTGACGTGAGTGATGTCTTGGGAACTGTAAGTTTCTATTATCTGATGTGTTTCATTTGCTTAATTTTATTGAAAAAGAATACTTAAGCTTGTGTTTAGCACTAAATTTTCAAATTCCTGACATAGAGTATTCGTGAACACTTTTAGATGTGAGTTGTATCGTGTTCACTATCTTTTTTGAAACTTATCTGATAATATTTTTGATGCTAAAGAAAATGAAATACAGCACACTTGTTTATGCCTGGGTTTTGTGTTAATATTTGCCTGTCAGTCTTTTTTCATACTTCATTCTTCAAATTGCCTGAATGTTTTTCCTCAATGGCATTTTACCATGTAAATTTTGGTCCGTATGACTAAATTTTGTGCCTTATGTTTCCAGAACAGGTTGAATATAACAAAAACAATCCGAAAGTTTTCTATAGATCCACATTTAAGACCAACTGGTGCTGAGTTTCATGCTGAACCTGTTCCACATTTCATTAAGCATGGAGATGAAGTTGACGAAGAAAGTGTTGAGGGTTCCGTACCATTAAATGGTGTTAGCTTTGACAAACTTTCACATCAGTAAGTGGATCAATTCAACCTTGCAAGCCATTTAATTTTGTGTATTATGTTCCCACTATGGGGCTTTGTTAAATGCCAATTTAGGTGATACCTCTATTGATTGATTTGAATGGTTTTTTGCAGGTATCCAATTTTGGTTGTCAATTTTTATGCTCCTTGGTGCTACTGGAGTAATCGCCTGGTAATCTACTATTAGCATGCACAATCTTTGTCTGGAAGATACTCGCTAAAAGCATTATTGACTAGCTCTCACACTGTGGAAACTGGTCATCATACATGACTTGTTTTGCAGTTATGTTGTTGCCAAATCTTACTTCTTTTTCAAGTGACTTATTTTGTGACTTCATGCACTTCATTTATATTCTAATAGCCCTTTAATATGCTCTGTGATGTGATATTTTCGGTAGTAGGACCTCGGCATGTTTAGCTCTATGTGTGTCTTTCTATACAGGCATGTTTTTCTAAATGTTCTAAACAATAGCAAATAGAAATGAATTAAACCCTTGCTGCTAAGGAGTATGAAATCTTAGGCGGAGCTGATAGTAATGGATGCTTTCAGCAATAATGACTACTATATTTGCTTAATTAAGTTTAATTTTTTTTTAAAGAAAATTTTGCTGATAGTATTTCAGAAAAATAAGTCAGCAAGATGAGTAGGAAGAGGTTTATGCTACCTGGCTTGCTATTTATGAAACAGAAAGCTTTAAAACTAATAGATTTCATATACCGAAGCCATTATATGTAATGCCAGTACTAGCACCCAAACATGCTTCAAAGCCATTATATGAACCCATTATATGTAATTCAGGCGCTTCCGGCAAGCGATTTTGCCTCTGAAATTAAAAAAAAGAAAAAGAAAATAGTAATTGGAACAGATGTTTTGCAACCTAAAATGTAGAGGATGGATTTTCTCTTACATTCAAAGTAATTTTTGCTTATATATGTATACTTCCTTTTGTCTAAATGGACTTGACAAGGCAAAGAACTTTTTTTTTTTTGAAAGATGATAAGGCAAAGAACTTGATGGTCTGATTAAGCACACTTCTTTAACTGAGAAGGATTACGAGGATCCTTAAGAACATCCTTCTTAGTCCAAAGGTTTCATAAAAAAATGATAATTGCCAGCATCCTATGGTTTGTGTTTTGTGTTGTTTAGTTCTTGTTCCTTTTTTGAATGGCTTAAAGGTCATATTGGAGCTTAAACTTGTTCCTTTTACCACTGAGAGCTTGTGGTGGTTTCTTCACTTATCTCATGTTACTTTTTGGGTTTCAGAAACCATCATGGGACAAAGCAGCCAAGATAATAAAAGAGAGGTCTGAGCATACATCATTTCTCTCCCATGGGATAAATTTGTAAATAGCTTCTTGATTTAGGAATTAATTTTTCACCCTTGCACAGATATGATCCAGAAATAGATGGGCGTATTCTTTTGTCAAAGGTTGATTGCACTGAAGAAGTTGACTTGTGTAGGAGGTATGTCTTTGTTGATGCTTGATCACATGTAAATTGATGCTTGTTGTATGAGAGTTTGATTATATGTCATTATTTGACTACAAACCATATTGTTACGTTTTGACCAGTTTGATGTTGTAGATACATATAAATATATACCACTTTGTAAATTTATCTTGGTTCTAACATAAAAGTATTTTCCGAATGTTGCATCTTTTTCATAGCTTTGCCACAAGTTTAATCTTTTCTCTTTCTCTCTTTCGTCCTTTTCTTTTCTATCAATTGCTATCATGCTCATTTGTTCTGTGTTTCTTTTTCATTAAGGCATCACATTCAAGGGTATCCTTCTATTCGCATTTTCCGAAAAGGCAGTGATTTGAGGTAAACGAAAATATTTTACATATATTTTCTACCCTTATATGTTAATGGTTTAATGCCCCCCACTCACTTTTCCCCATTCGGTCTCACTCCCTCTTTTCTTTATGTTGCTTGTTACTGACAAATTATTATTAGATTCAAACATGTGAAGCTTGTACATGTACTATTCTTTGGGGCATATATTTCACCTTTCACTTTCCTTTGACCACTGACCAGAGGATTATACTTTCTTCTAGGCTATTTAGTTCTGCCGAACCTTCTTTATATTTGCTTTGTAGATTCACCTTGTTGTCTGACTTGTATGTGTTTCAGGGAGGACCATGGACACCATGATCATGAATCTTATTATGGAGATCGTGATACAGAAAGCCTGGTTAAGGTACAATTGCAGTTAGTTTTGAATTGGCTGTTTGCATTTATAGATCAGTTATAGAAATCTTATAAGATAAAGGTGCACGTGTGACCTAATTCAGTTGTCTGTTTCTTCAGACAATGGAAGAATTGGTTGCTCCTATACCACTGGAGTCCCAGAAGCTGGCTTTGGAGGATAAATCCAACATAACAAAAAGACCAGCACCAAAGACAGGAGGATGTAGAATTGAAGGATATGTGCGTGTAAAGAAGGTGATAATTATGGTCCTAAATTAGACTCTGACCATTTGACTTCTTTTACTTGTAATTTCTTAGTCCAATCATTTTTGTTTACCCTTGAGATATGAGCCATAGAAATGTGTGTTGTATCATCCCTTCGATCTCTAAGTGTGCCAATTTTTGGAATTGTTTTTCTTTTTATACCTTAAACTTAAAGTATTAAGTTTGACTTGCACTTCTCAGGTTCCTGGCAACCTTATCATTTCTGCTCGTTCGGCAGCCCATTCTTTTGATGCTTCCCAAATGAACATGTCTCATGTCATAAGCCATCTTTCATTTGGTAAAACAATTTCACCTCGGGTACTGAGTGATGTGAAGCGGTTAATACCTTATATTGGTAGAAGCCATGACAGGTTGAATGGTCGGTCATTCATTAATCACCGGGAGTTAGATGCAAATGTTACTGTAAGTTTGCTTTTTTATATGATCTTTTCTGTTCAATTGTTTATTTTACCTTTTAAGTGTCATGGTGTTGACATGAACATTTTATATGCCTTTCTGTCAAAGCAATCAATGATGCTTTACCTCTGCGGCTGAGTGAGATATGTGTATACCTTGATCAACAATAAAGAATTTTCTGTTCTAAGAGTTTCTTCATAGTCTAAAATCTATAAAATGTACCTAACCAATTCTTGTTTAAATAACTTGTAATTGGTCAAATGAGTGGAGTCAATACTAATTAAAAACAAAATTAAATGTCAAGGTCTCTAGTAGAGATTATGGCAATTGTTACAATAGGAAACCTCGTTAGAGATTTCAGTCCTATTTCTGGCTGCAAAGACAAATAATTGTACCTGGAAAAGAAGGGACTGCCCTTGTAATAGAATATTATATCTGCTGAAATGCTGTTATAGTTTTTTGAAATGTGTAAATCTCTTAATCTACGAGCTTCATCTTTCTTAATTGCATCCACAGATAGAGCATTACCTTCAAATAGTCAAAACAGAGGTGGTTACAAGAAGATCTTCTCGTGAACATACATTAATTGAGGAATATGAGTACACAGCGCACAGCAGTCTGGCACAGAGCATATACATACCTGTCACAAAATTTCATTTCGAGTTATCTCCAATGCAGGTTATTCTTTGAACTGATTAATTATATTTGAGAAGGTTTTACCTTCCATTCTTATTGTTTTTCATTAACATAGCTTTTTTTTATTTTCCTTTTGTACTCAGGTTTTAATAACAGAAAACCCAAAATCGTTTTCGCACTTTATAACCAATGTCTGCGCTATAATTGGAGGTGTTTTCACGGTTAGTAACTTACAACCCCCTCCCCAACAGCCTTTTTCTTTTCCTTTCAAAATTTGCCTTAGAAAACCAAAACTGCGATATTGATGAATCTTCTCTGTGGATTGCAGGTTGCTGGGATTTTGGATTCAATTTTACATAATACAATTAGGCTGATGAAAAAAGTAGAATTAGGCAAAAATTTTTGATAGACGAGTCAAAAAAAAAAAATTGTTATTCTGTAAAGAATTCTAATTAGTGAGGACAATCGAGATGTAGCCCTTTTCACACATGAAATGAAGCACAAGAATTTTTGTTGCAATGTTTGGATGCAATAAACTTACATCTTATTTCTCCTTGAAGTAAAAAATGGAGAGATGTGGTTACCACATCAGTGATTACCCAGGAATGTGATTGTTAGGTACTTGTTTTGTGTATGTTTGAACCCATTCACTTTTTTAAGTGATGGATTGAAATTTGATAATTTAGCTTAGCTGTCAATATGCAGTTTATTAATTGAGTTTTTTTTTTTTTTATAATTTATTGATCGATGGTCTTGTATTGATCTGGTAATTTATTGAAATTTCAGCATTGCTTAGAGCTCGATGATTTTATTTATTTATTCTTTTGAAGTTTGATAGATTTTGTCTGAATGACTTACATGCTTGTTTCTTCCTTGGCAATGGAAGCAGGAAAAAAAATAGAGAACAGAAAAAGCTGGTAAGCAGTATCCACACAGTATACAATCCATTTTTATTTCTCTGTTTACAAACAAGCACACCAAGTACTATACATCTATCACCTTATTCCTTTAGTTTTGACAATAAGTTGTCAGGAAAAAAAAAAACACAGTTGACCATAGTGAACATAAGCTGAGGAAGAACAAAGAAAGAAAAATGTCAAAAAAAGAAAGAAGAAGAAAAACCCAATAGAATCAGAAAAAAGAATTCAAGAAATTAAGAAATCTAATTCATCATGGAAATTCTTCCTCTTAGAATGCTAGAAGAAGAGTTGAAGCAACAAATGCTCCAATTGAACCAGCAACACTCGTGAAGACTGAAGAGGCTGCGTTTTTGTGATTACCCTCGTTGCTTGGTGCTGGTGTCGGGTTAATCTCAACTGTTCCAGCGGGTGGAGACTCGCCAGAGGGGGCCGGAGATGGCATTAAGTTGGTTGAGCCTGAAGGCGGAGGAGAAGGAGGGGCGGTTTCGTTTGTGCTTGAAGAGCCGTTGCTTCTATCAGCCAAGACGACAATCACCAATTTCTCATTCTTTTCACAGTTATCTCGGTTTCCACTGATGAAATAGTAAGGCCCCGAACGGCTCAATGAGAAAACAGTGTGGCCATCCTTGTAGTCGGAGATCGGTGCCTCTGTGCTGCAGTTTTTGTAGGCCTCCGCGGTTACATGAAGCACTGAATCATTGTTCGGTTGGTAGACAAACACTGCAGCATGTCGCCACATACAAGGAAAAATGAAAACAAAGTTACACTATACTAGAACTTAGAACCAATGAATCCTTAGGGATAAACCAATGACTTACCAATGGAGTCTCCAATCTGAAATCTGTTTCTTTCTGCCCATTGGTTATAATTTTCTGCATAGCTGCCATTGTGAAGACCCCAGTTCACTGTGAATTCCCTTGCATAACCATTCTGAATCAGCAGCATGAAAACAAAGAGACCCAACAAATGAAAGGCTTTGCTTTGATAATCCGGTCCAAAAATGGAGTTAGCCATTGCAAAAACAAACAGAAAGGACAATCAAAGACTGGTGTTTGAACCAAAAAATGTAAACTTAAGTGAAGCAAAAGGGGTTGCTACAAATGGGCGCCAAGCCCAGGGTTTTTGTAGGCCAACTTGCATGCAACTTTACAAACTGTGGCAGGGAAGCTTTTGCTTCTTTTCCATATTCTCTTTTCCTTTGGGATTTCTTGGCTTCTGGTGCAAAGCATAAATCTTCACCTTATTATAGTTTGTAAGAGCTGGAGTATTCTTCTGCGCTCTTTTCAATCTTTTCTGTTACTTGCTTTATCATGGGTTTATGCTTTACTTGACCATAAACAAGAATATTCATGTCTTGAACTTTGGGTTAAACCAATTGGCATCTTGTATAACTTATGGGAATTTGGGTTCACATCCCAAAATTTTTTTCTCTAGAATTGTTCATCCTAGGAATTAGCTTGATGAAATGTATTTAGGCTTTGGTTTTACCTTCTTGCAGCATTAGCATTAGAAAAGAGACCAAAATAAAGAAAAGAATGAGTTGGAGATAGAGACAGGTATGCACAGCTTAAATCTGTTTTAGACTCAAGAATTCCTGGTATCTTGCAAGGTGAATGAAGTTACAGCAATGGTGATTTAGTAGCAAAATAGGTCTTCTTCATTTCATCAAGAATAATGTTTTTTGTTTTTTTTTTTGTTGAATTCCATTTCGTTCTCTTATATGCTTATATGCACTTGAATTTTCTGCAGAACTGAAAATGAAGGATGACAGAGAAATAATTGCCCAACTGGTTTAGTCATGGTCATCCTTCCTACCTAGTTAAGGTTAAGTTTGATGGCTTAATTAACCAGTCTTGAATACTAAGGTTTACTTTGTCCTGACCTGTTTAGATTGTCATCAGGGACAAGATCTAGACAAAGTCAGACATGAAATAGATCATTCAGCTACTTAATTTGCTATGTTTGCCATTGTTAAATATTGCTGATTAATCCAGTCTCAGGAAAGTAGAAGTCAGCTGAAATGTCTGAACAACTTGACCAGTTCCTGTTCCCTGACCAACACCCCTCTTGCAGCTACTTAACTCTATCTGCAGAAAGTAAATAGGTAGTCAGATACTGCTAGGAAAAAAATGGGGGACACATATAAAAGCAAGGAGACAGGGGAAACTAAAGGCAATCAGAAAAGGAAAGAAGGATAATGGAGATTATATGCAGCTGGGAAACTGCCCAGTTGTTAAACTTGGGTCCTTAACAAATGATCGAAATGTTACTACATGGTCCTCAGTAAGAAATACTGATGGAGATCGACTACAATTCTAGATTCGAAAGAAATGATCTTAATTTTTTTTTATAAAAGAGAGTATTATGACTCGAAATTAAGATTTTTATTGAAATTCTTTTCACTTTTACCAGTTGAGTTAAATCCGAGCAGAAAGAGAGCCTAAGGACAGTTGGTAAAACAATAAAAGGTAAAAAGAAGAAAATTGAATGGATCAATCTGGCAGCCTGGCAACTTCAACTCCTCTCAGTGCTTTGTCCTTGCTAAATTAGAACCCCAACCAACCAAGCCAGAAAGGGTCCTCTTCAAGTTGGAAAGCATTTATTTATATCTTCATAACTTTGCTGAATAAGTTGGCAAGCATTTTATGAACCAGAACAAATCATATTCCCTGGTACCCACAGGCATTCTTTCTCTAATTACTACTATGTTTTTAAGGGACCCAATGCTGTTCCATGTCCAAACATTTCTCTCCTTACGATCAAAAAGATTAATTGAATAACACAAATGCAATAATTATTCCCACCATTAGTGATGATTAGAGTCATTACCTTCAAAAATTCCCATTTATCATTACAGAGTATTAGCTGTCATTTGAGACATAAGATTTGTAGGCTTTTGGGTTTCATTTTAAGACAATGTCACTCTTCTTCCAAGATCTAAGTTATGACAGAGTTTATCACAAATTTTGGGGAAGTCAAAAGCCAAGAATAGTTCAAGCAAGTTTCCCCATCACCGTAGTCTTGGTCAGCTGGTCGTGGTCATTGTCATTACCCCCATGAACATGGGCACCACCACATCCACCACACCTTGCTGGGGAGAAATGTTCTAAAACTCTCATTTAAAATACCAAGAAAATACAAAAATGGGTAAAAGTGACAACCCAAAAAGGAAATAGAAATAAAGGAAAGTTAGAGAATTACCCAAGAATCATGTGAATCTCATATAAGGAGTAAAAGGCATTAAATTGAGGCAGCAAATGAAGTTAAAAAGAAAGGCAGGAAGATTATAGAGAGAAAAGAAAAGGTCAAATTTAACTAGAGGCAAAACATAGGTGAGAAAAGTCAAGTCAACATGAACATAAAGAAGAAGCTTAGAATTTTTTTAGAAGCAATAAGTTTTTATTTTTGGGGATTTAATTTAGAACATGAAAAATGAAAAAAGGGTGGCAGTTAAATATAGACAAGGACAGAGAAACAAGAGGGAGACGGTTAAACTTAACGCATAAAACGGCCAATTGTTTTCTTTTATGTCCTTGTGTTTGTGAGATGGCTAACTTTCTTACAACCACCATGGCTGCCACCACCACCACCCACCAAATAAACCCATAATTAACCCCCAAAAAAAAGCCCAAAAAAGAAAAGAAGATTTCTTTTGTTTTATTTTTGTTAGAAAAAAAGGAAAAAAAAAAGGGTCAAGGAAATTCTCCTTCTTTTTGTTCTTTGAAGAGCTTGACTTGGCTGGCCCCCCCATTTTCTCAACTTTTTCCTGCATTTCTTTGATATTTCCTTTCTGGGTAGTTCTTATTCTGATCAAAGGTTACAGCTTTTGGTGGCTTCTTTTTTGTGCCAAAAAGGTAAAATAATTTATTTCTTCCTTTACGTTTTTTTCTTGGTAAATGTGGGGGGCTACTGCAGAACCTGCTGATTCTTATTATGAGGTTCGGCCTGAATGCACTGATGTTCCAAGAACCAGATTTAAAATCAAGGTTTGTTTTTTTCTTTTTGTTTTTAGTTGAAAAAAAAATGAAAATTTGGACACCCTTTGATCTTAATTTGGACCAATGATTAAGAAAATATTGGAAAGGAAGCATCGTTTATATAATGTGGTTCATTGGATAATATATTTGATTAGATTTATGTGAAAAAGGTTTTTTTTTTTGTTTTGTTATTGGTTCTAATTTGATTGAATTTTAGCTCAAGTGAGTTTATCCAATTGAGGGCTTTTCATATGGATTTGGTAGTATGAATTTGAGATTTGATCTTGAATTTGTAGATATATAAAACAGTAAAGTTTTAGAAGCTTTGTTTTATGTGGTTTCTTATCATGATCAATTCACTGTCAAGTCAATGTTTTCATGGCCAAAGTTTCTGCTTCCAGTTTAACGAATATGGTTTCCTTTTAACTTTGTTGATTATGTAAATGAAGCTGCAATATTAAAAAAGGGGCTGTGACAGCCTGATTAGCTTTCTGCTACATGATTCTGATTCATTGAAGATGCTTTTGTTTTTCTTTGTTTATGTAGCCTGGTAAAACTCTAAGTGCAAGAAAATGGCAAGCTGCATTTTCTCCGGACGGGCATCTGGATATTGGCAAAACTCTTCATCGAATCCAACGTGGGGTAAGTGCATATTCATGTTCAAAAAGATTTTTTCTTTCTTGTTAGTAGATTACAATTGATCAAATGCAAGTGTAGTTTTGCGGAATGCATTGGATATACAAGTTTCCAGAGTAATTCATTCAAACTTCTATAGTCGTCTGATGGCCATCCTTATATATCAGACTTGAAAGCTACATGGATTATTTGGTTGCTTCTTTTTCTGTGACAGTCGTTCATATATTTAGTATCCTGTGTAGCTAGCGCCGTTTCCACCTAGAATTTAGTTTTTAGTAGGTCTTAGTTGCTGTCATAAAAAAAATGTACTAGTCAGCAAAACCAGAATTGAAATATAGATTGTTTTTATTTTTTATTTTGTATACTATTGGTGAGAATTGATCCAGATATCTTAATGCTGAGCCTTCTATAGTCGTGCTTGTAAATGATGTAGAACATACAAATTGTATCCATGAAAGAGTATGGATAGTTTATCACTGCAAAAGATCAAAAGCAAACTCATCAGTATGTGTTCTATGTAACTTATGTTAATCACGCTGGATGGCAGCATTATATATATATATATATATATTCAGCAATGCAACTGGACTGCATATTCTGACATGTATTATGTCTGAATCTTATCCGTAGAAGAGCATATGCATATATGCGGTTGAGTAAGGTTATGTTTATGTATGTTTAAATGCATGTTCATGTTTGTACTTATTTGTTGTGGTCTCTATCTATCGCTATTATGGTTTTTTGTTTGGGCAACATAGGGGATCCATCCCTCGATTAGAGGAGAAGTTTGGGAATTTCTACTTGGCTGTTATGATCCTAAGAGCACATTTGATGAAAGGGAGCAGATACGGCAGCATCGAAGGTAGTCCACTCCTCCTTTTTTTGTAAATTGGTACCATTAGGTTATGGAATGTTTGAGAGATCGGATCTCTGCTGGACCTCTTTCCTCTCCAGGAGATCATTTGCTGAGTGTTGTTTTCTCACTTCTATATCTCAGGGTGCAATATGCTAGATGGAAGAATGAATGTCGTGACATATTTCCTGTTGTTGGAAGTGGCAAATATATTACAGCGCCTGTAATCACCGAAGATGGTCAGCCCATTCAAGACCCCTTAGTACTTTTAGAAACAAATCCAGGCAAGTTACTGGCACTTTACCTGCTTAAAATAATATTTTGCTGAAAGTGAATAAACCAGGTATTAATATTTGATGAATTATTCAGGAGCAAATGCTAATGGTTCAGAAATGGTGAAGGAGCTGACCAGTCGTGGTCCCTTGGACAAGAAAGTAATCCAGTGGATGCTTACATTGCATCAAATAGGTTGGTTGTTGTTTCTATTTTAAATGCATGTCTCACTTTGATTTGTTGCTTTCTTCTCTTAGTCATGATGACATTCCTTGAATTTATGTTTCTATCAGGTCTTGATGTCATTCGCACTGACAGGACTTTAGTATTCTATGAGAAGCAAGAGAATTTGTCAAAACTTTGGGATATTCTCTCTGTTTATGCCTGGATAGATACCGATGTTGGCTATTGTCAAGGTGAGTAATTATATAAAGTTTTGTTTCCCTTACTGGGATGGCCTTCTTATCTGATGATAATAGTTTCCATATTGGTAACTGCCTCAATCAAGTGAACCTTCGATTTACTTATTTATGTTATTTTAAAATGCCATTAGTTTAGGCACTTTGTTTGACTTGCTTAGCGTATGATTGTAGCATGTGGTTGACATTGTGGTGACTGCATATAACTATAGGTTTATAAGTTTAAAAACCATTACGAAAGCCTTTGAATTTAGTTATCACATCTAGATTTTGCTAGTATTTCTAATATGGTCTTTTATTCATCAGATTCATCTGTTATTAAAATCAAGATTTACATTCCATTCTTTGCTAAATAAAAAAGTTGCCTATTCCTGGTATTTTCCTTTACGACCTTCCAGTAACTAACCCTCTCCCTATCATAATTTCCATTTGCTCTACCTCCCTTTGTAACCGAGGGAAGAATAATTTTTTTATGTACAATCTACAATCAAATTCTAATTCTGAAAGCTAAATTCAATACATTGTTCGGCAGGAATGAGTGATCTTTGCTCCCCCATGATTATCCTTCTTGAAGATGAAGCTGATGCATTTTGGTGCTTTGAACGTCTGATGCGCAGATTGGTATTTTTACTTACCATTTTACTGCAGATCTATGACAGCATGATGGCTTATCTTTACATATGCATTAAGTCCATTTTCCTGTATTGAACTAAGTTCGAGCTTCAAGTGGGTTTATTTTATGTTTATGTATCTTGAAGTTGATAACTAAGTTTATCCTTGTTAGGTGCAATTCTGACTCCTAATCCTTAGGATCTTTTAAGGATTCTTATATGTGCAGTGTGAGAATGCTATCTGTAAGTACTGGTTGTGTTCAAGATTGTCTACTCCAATAATTCCTACTCAGTCATTCTACGCGCTTTGGAATAGGGATGCATTTTGCCTCCCTGTGGATTCATTTTACCGGCTTGCTTTTATAAATTGAACTTTCTGTGCACCATTGGCAGATTTTACTATTATGTCTTTCTTATCTGCCACATATCATTGCATACGTTTTATAATGGCTGGTTGACACAAGATTGCCATTGATAGATATTGTCCTTTATCTTGTCAGACCTTGCTTGTTCTGTCTATTTGGTTTTCTCTTCATTTGATCCATTCAAAAAGAAACATCAGAACGGCCCAAAAAAGCAGATTTGTGTATGCTGAAAGTCTAACCTCAAAGAATTGGTTTTATAGGAAGTATTTTATCCATCTTTGCTATTAAAATCACGCTGCTTTGTTAATTTATCACATAAGGTGTATTTCAGTATGATCAATTAAATATGACTCTTCAATTTACCATAATCATTTCCTTTTAAGGATTTTCTTGTTTTCCGCTTTATTACCAGTTTCTTATGATATGTGTTCCTATTTTAAATCTTAAAGCGAGGAAATTTCAGATGCACTGAGAGTTCAGTTGGGGTGGAGGCACAACTTAGTAATTTGGCTGCTGTAACTCAAGTTATTGATCCAAAACTTCATCAACACTTAGGTAAGAAATGAAATTCATCGTGTTATGCATTATGCTTTCTTTGCACATGTTGTATGAAGATCATTATTTTCTTTTTCCTGTACTGGTTTGCAGAGACACTGGGTGGAGGTGACTATCTCTTTGCTTTTCGAATGCTAATGGTTTTGTTTCGTCGAGAGTTCTCATTTTGTGATTCATTGTATTTATGGGAGGTACGTTCAACATTTCCAATACCATCATCTGATTTTATTGAATTCGAAATATATGATGAAATGCTTTGTAAATTACCTGATATCATTCTTCTGAAACAATACACATTTCCATGATAATTGTGATTGTTTCTGACTCCAATGATTTTATAGAACTGTTTGTTTATGATTTGGCTTTTTCAGATCTTAGAAAATTAAGTTGATAATAAATCTTAAGGAGCGATTCTTATGAAACATTTACATGGATATTTCCTTTGTATTGACTTAGTTCTTTAACCTGTGGTGTGACTGGTTTTCCAAGGAATAAAGATGAACGGAAAAAAGATAAAATTCCTATGAAATATCTTTATACGTTGGAGAAGGTTGCACCAATTATTAAAATTTGTGACTTTCATGAAGCTGTTTTAAGGAGTGTATTCAAGATGCATCCAGGGACATTGAAGAAAAATCATTTTCACCTTGGTGATGTTTTACAATTCATAATTACTTGTGGGCTAACATAAGCATAAATGTTTGGTTGTGTTATGTCAAGCACACTGTACAATTTCATGGTTAACGTGAATCAATTCTGTGTTTATAGTATCTATACTTCTGATCCAGTATGCTTCACATGAATTTACTCATAATGTTGATTTGTCTGGTTACCTAAACTTTCTACAGATGATGTGGGCTCTGGAATATGATCCTGACTTGTTCTCTCTGTATGAAGAACCTGGAACAAATGTTGAGAAGGCCGAGGGTTCTAAAGGAAAAACAAAGTCAATACGTCAGTGTGGGAAATATGAGAGAGAAAATATGAAAATTAAAAGCTCAGATGCTCCCCTCCCCATTTCTGTTTTCCTTGTAGCCAGTGTCTTAAAAGATAAGAGCTCAAAGCTACAACAAGAAGCTCGGGGCCTGGATGATGTAGTTAAGGTCAGCTTATATTTTTTGCAGCTTTTACTCTAGGATTTCTTTGGGAATTGACCTGGGACTTCCCATTATGCATTGCTGAAGTAGGTGTCTGTCCATGGGTAGGACCTTCCAAAACCCTGAACTCTTGCTTTGGGTCCTGATGAAGCCTTATATCTGTATACTTTATCTATCAAAATTTTCCCTCTTTTTGTGGGACTGCTGCAACTTTTATCCATTTTATGTTGTACTAGTGCTCTACCTGTCTCATTTTCTTGTTTTTGTTCTTTTTCAGATACTGAATGACATAACTGGAAATTTGGATGCCAAGAAAGCTTGCACTGGGGCAATGAAACTTCATAAAAAATATTTAAAAAAGGTACTTCTATTTCCTCGTTTCCTTTTAATTATGGCATTGAAATTCCTTCATTGCGTGAAAGGCAAAAAATTAGCAGCATAGCATAGTAGGCAGTAGTACTCGAGTTCATACTCATTTGTCAAGTTTTTCTGGTAAATCTTTGAACTCCACTCTTTCATTTCATCTTGTGACCACAGGCCAAGAAGACATAGCATAAGCTAAACCATGTGACGTTTTCCGCCCAGTCATGAAATAATGAGAATTTTTCTTGTATACCACGACTTGATTTGGGAGAAGATAATTCATTTACTTCCAGATGAATCCTGGCTCAGAGATTACAGTATTTTATAACTGCTCCAACCATCAAATGTTTTGCTATATATGTGATATCAACCTTCCACATTACTTGTATACGAAAACACTGTTTACCGGGTCTCTATACAAATCCATTGTTGTATAGGCATATCTTGTGTTTTGTAACCATTCAAATTTCAATGAAATACAAAGAAAATTAGCTGCTTATGGATGAAGTCTCCATACCCTCTTCATGAGAAAGGAAAAATTACAGAACTATTCTACTTGCCATATGAAGGAAAAGCACATACAAAAAGAAAAATGAATGGTGAACACATAAGTCACTTTAGCTACTTGTGAGAGCTACTAATATCAAAATTGAACGACCATAACCTTTGGATCAAGCAATAAACAATTGTAAGTGACAATTAGCTATCTTAACTTTATTATGTTCTAATAAATGAAGTAAACTTGATAGAAAAATGCTATTGGAAGAATCCATCTTCAGTGGGACTGTTTTGGCTCAGAACAAAACAATCTATTTTCTGTTAATGGTGGGTTTTTCTAGGTGAAGTTATGAGGTGAAAAGAGTTCTGTAAAGAGTAAAGCATTTCAGAACATACCCTTAATTTCCATGCAGCATGAGTACGGATTCTGAAAACAGATAGGCATTGGAAATAGTGCACGGGACATTGCTTGGGAACCATGGCAAAATTCTAAGCATTTGCCCTTCATAGTCCCAAAGTCACCACGGTCACTTAAAAGACAGTTTTGGTCATGAACTGTTGAATGTAAAATCACTTTTTTTTTCTGTGTGAATATCAACGAACTTTCTTGACTTGAATGTGAAATGTTGATTCGAGGCTATTGTCATGACTAAAAGTGAAATTACTACAATGTCCTGCCATGACTGCCATGATTTGTCTATTACCCTTTTCATTGGCTTGTTCATCAACTTCCCTAAAACATTCTTACAAAACAGCTCAAGAGACCAAATGGAAGTTCTAATTTGTCTTTTGCAGTAAAAAAAAAAATACTATATACCAGAAAGCCAAAAGATGGTTGTCCGAAGTATTACATTGGAAAGGCCTTGTCAGGCAATAAATAATATCTACGGTACAGCTCAAGCACAAATTATCATAAATTTTTCTGTTTTTCACAATTGTTAGAGTCTCCTCATCTCTGCACTTCTTGATGATCAAATTTATAGCAGAAGAAGCCTTCTTCAAGTTGTAGTTGCGCATTGCTCTCCATCCTCTATCCACCCATGTCACATCAGCATTATTTCTTTTCCCAGAAAGAAAGCCAAGCAAATTCTAGTTATAAAGAGATCATCATGATTCATGGGGTTGTTCAAGATGTTGAGTTTTAAATCATAGAAGCAAAAATATAATGTATATAAATTCTTACCAAAGCTAATACACTACAAGAAAAAAAAAGGACCCTTCAAAGATCATAAATGGAAACGGTCTGTCATGAGCAAGAAAGTCAGAATAGCTATGAAGATAGCAGCCGAGGAGGAAATGCGAGAGCTGTGCCCTGCACTCCTTGGAAAATCATCAGGAAGAGCACATTCTTCCCCATTGAAGAACACCTTTGAAGGGAATCCATCGCCATGTCGAATGTTTATTCCTGGTGTATGTTTCTTTGTGAATGAAATCACAGATTGTTGCTTTCCAGGGACTCTCGGATCATGTCGTTTAGTCCCATTTCTCTCTGCCACCAAGTAATTCAAACCTGGCAAACCCTGGAAAAAAATGGTATTCTTAACGGATTGCAGTTTTGTTCCATTGAAGGAATAGACATTTTCATAACCCGGGAAAGCCTTGTTCATTTGAACAGCAGCGAACCAGTCCTCAAATGGCAAATCTCCCCAATTAAACAGGGTGATCCGAGCTGTCCATCCGGTCTTGTAATCAGAGTTAACATGCCAATTTATACTAACTCCGCAATTGTCAGGGCAAGGCAACTTTTTAGGAACAGCCCTGTGCTTGAGATGGGCAAAGGCTTTAGCTTTTGCTGTCCTGTTTTCAAAAGGAACAAGTAGAGCATCTGCTGGGAGAAGCATCGAACGCCCGTTGGGGTTGCAAGTATCCGTATCAATATTATCACAGCCGCAAGCACAGGTACTGCATGGAATGGCAGAATCGTTGTAGTAAGCTGAGAAGGAAACACAGCACTTGGTTTTCTTCTTCTCTGGCTTGGTAATGTTGCAGACAACTTGCCAACTTGCAATAGCACTGGTCGTGGCCTGGAGCCCGGTAGTGTCAGGAAATTCTGTTGGATCAACTCTAATTGGAGGGCCACATTTGTATTGGGGATTGAGTACCCCAGTAATGTTCCATCTTTGTGGTGGATACAAAGCAGTCTTGCTGGTATCAGGAGGCAATTTGTATACCCTTAATTGGAAAATTGACCTTGCTTTGCTTTCATCCATCAAGGGTGGCAAGAGGGTGCCATTCCTGCAACAATAAGGAATCTTGCCAACCGTGGTATCATTCGCTCTATCAGCTGGTAGATCAGCAATCACAGGCTTTTTCTGGCAATTCATGACTTGACTGAAATCAAAGTCCTTGAGGTATTGCCCTGCTAGGCCATAGATGCAATCAGAGTAATCGATTTTGTGAGTGTAGGCTCCTCTCATGGAGTAAATGAACTCCCCTCTCATCCATTCCCAAGTCAAGTTCCAGTGATCAAGGCGGCTTAAGGGGCTGTTGTTATCCATGGTTACTTGGGCGACATAGCTACCTTCATAAGCTTGAAGAACATCATACATGAAGTTGAGATCCCCATATTGCCTAGGCAAGTACTTGCCCCTCACAGGCTTGGCCTTGAATTTGGGATTCTTTTTGCAACATACATGCATGTACGTGGCTGTAAAATCAAAAATATTATCAAACAATTAGTATTTTCTAAGATTAAAATTACCTGTTTAATTAAGATTTTAGATCCCGTCCTTCTAAATTTATTGGAAAAATTAAAACGTATATATATGTCTAAGTAATTGTATCTAATCCAAAGATTATATTAAGAGTCCACTAACGAAAAAATAAATAAAGAAAGAAAGTTCAAAAGTATGCATGCATAGCTTCTTCACGTTGGAACACCACGCATGAAACAAAACCTAAATATCAAACAAGGAAAAGAAACTTACTATGTTTAGTAGGCTGGGGGCAGTTCCAGCCATCGTTTGCCAGCCTGATCGTCTTAGGCATCGGAATCACCTTCTCTTTCAACCCAAACATGGTGCCGGTGAACTCAACCTGCACGGCAATCTGGTTATAATCCCCAGCAGTGTCGATGGACGTCTTGAGGTCCGACATGGGGTACCCTGACAAGGTTGTTCCATTCCCAACAGCCACCGGAAAATCTCCGCTGCCGTCTATGACGACTGCGTTCGTTGCAGACACCAATATCTCCCTATGTTGAAACCCTACGAACATCTTCCATCCCTTTACCTCTTCTGTTCCCGCATTCATTATGGTGGCTATAGACTTGAACGCCCATGATTGAGCTGTAATGTTCTTTACGTGGGGATACTCTTTATTCCTTGACGTGAAAGCGTAGCTCAAGAATACGCCATTACAATTGTCTTGGCCCGGTGGTGGTGCCGCCACCGGATCACTGTAGTCATCGGTGTTATCTTGGCCGTAACAGAGCTGAATTCTTAAAGAGATACAGAGAAATGCAAGACATAAGAGTTTCATCCAAGGCATTTTCATGCCTGCTTTTGCTTTTTTTTAAAACCTTTTCTTTTTTGATGTTTTGTTTTGTTTTCTATTTTGTTAGTTTATGATGAGAGGCAAGGCCAAAGGCAGGGGAGGGGGTTTGCCGCGCGGTGACGACGCGGCAAGGGGAGAGGGGGAGGGAGTTCTGAGTGAAACCCTACGAAGTTTAGGGATGAAAGGGTTATAAGGGGAGAAGAAAATGGGAGATTGAGTCAAGCTAAATTCTCTTCCTCTTGTTTTTGCGGTTGGTTCGGACAGGGGAAACAGGGTGGTGCTTTCTTCTTGTAGTGAAAAAAGCAGAACAGGTATCTAGTTTTGCTATTTTTAGTGTGTGGTTGATGAACTATGTCGTTTTTGGAGGTTGGCTAAAGGTAAATTTTGAGTTGTCAATGCGTTTTTGGTTTTCTCTAAACAGATGATTGGTGTGGAATGCTTAATTAATTTTCATAAAATATCTAACCGTATTTGTTACGAAATCTTATTTTTGATAGATAAAGAGGAGTTCTGAGTATATAAACATCGACTTTATATATTTCATTACATTAGTTTTTGGTAAAAAGAGTAATGATCTCGTGACATATTGGCTGAACTAAATCATGCAGGTTCATGTTAAACACATTTTTCATTGCTTGAACAATTTTATATGTTCTTTATGATGTTGCCTTGCTCGATCTTATTAATTGCATTAAATTAATAAAATTTTATTGTTAACGTATGAAAAAGGTTCTTTTTGAGTGATAAATTTACTGAAAACAGAGGAAAAACAGAACTGACAAGCAAAAACATCATATGCCACTGCTAATGGAAGATTAAAGAGCAGCAGAAAAATTAACCTCAGAAACTATGGTATAGACTAAAGCAGAATTATGAGCCCGGACCTAAGGAACCTTTTGTTTCTTTTGGTATCTTGTTCACAAGGAAACATGCCCATGGTTAAGAGCCATAGAGACTGCAGAGCAAAACAATGTCCAGCAGCAAAATTTTATTTTTTTTATACTATTTCTGATCATATTACCCAGGAATTATAGCAGCATGGGTGGCATGATTAGAGAGATTTGGCAACTATTAATCTATGGGACTTGTAAAGAGGAAAGAAAGAGGAAGAAAAAGCAATACTTATTGATGGCAACAAGAACAGCAAGAACTAACTGCTACGTCCCATTAAGTTCCAGCAGGGTCTAAACAGCACACCATCTTTATTAACAAACCTCACCACATAATCACATCAACCATCTAAAACCAAACCACTCGATCCTACTGATGACTATAAAACCGACCCCTAATCTCCATCGTCGCACCTTATTGCTATGCAGTTAAGCATCAGCAGTCTCAGCAGAATCTGCAGCAGCCAAGATCAGCTCTGGGTGAATGTTTCCCACATATGTTCCATCAAGTGCATTAGGCAATCCCAATGATTGCAGAGCAAGATGGGCTGCCTTTTGCCCTGATATCATCATGGCTCCAAATGTTGGTCCCTGCAGAATCAAAAGCAATGCAATATGTTAACAACAGGCCATTGTAAGATCACTGTCTTCTCTCATAACAACTCTAAAGCATGCATTTTAGAGGATGAACTAAATTCAGCATGATTCAGAATCAAACAGAATAAGAATGATCGTGTAAGTGAAAGTTACCATTCTTGGGGATCCATCAATCTCTGCAACTTCCATTCCAGTAACAATCATCCCAGGCACAACTTCCCTAGTCAGCCTCACAATAGCATCCTCAGCTGTATTCATATCCAGTGCCTTCATCCCCGGCACGTTATCAATCATCCCAATGCTCTTCAACCTCTTGACCCCAGTGGCTCCAAATGGCCCATCATGACCACAAGAGCTCACCACAACCTTGGCCTCCATGACGTTAGGGTCCATGCAGGACTGTGTGTCATGGTTCATTGAAACCAAGGCCCAATTTGTGACAACACCACCAACTCTTCCTTCCTTCACTATCAAGTCCTCTGCCGCCACAGCATTGAACAGCTTCACATTGGGGCGAGCTAGAAGCTTGCTCATGATGGTGGATGTGAACAGGGCTGCATGCTTGATCACCACATAGTCGTCTTGCTCATCATACTCAATTCCAAGTTCATCAAGGAAGCGATGAGCTGGTTTGCGTACTACCTGCATTAACATAGAATTTTTAATCTTTTTAATGAACAACAGTAGAATCTAAGGCCTTGCCTTCAAATTGGATCTTTCATATGTCTTCGAAAAAGAGAAAACCCTGAGCTATTTTATCTCTTTTTGTTATCTCTCATCCCTAAGATCCATTGTTTAAGTTATTATGATTTAAGTTAAAAACAAAAGATTTACGCATGTCAAATTCAATTTTGAGATTCACAGATTTAAGAGATGTATGAATGCTACACAATCCGCTGTTGATTGTTTTTCTTATTACCAATATCTGAATTCTTGTAGCAAAAGAAATTCATAGAAAAGATTTCAATATGTGACTGTTTTTCACATTACCATGGCGGAGAAAAGCTGTCCTCCTAGCCAGGCACCACCTCCGGGGCTAACAGATTGCTCAACAATAGCGACCTGTACGGACGGGTTCTTGCTAAGCTCGTAGGCACAAGATAGCCCTGCGGAGCCAGCACCAACCACCACCACATCAGTGTCAGCGTGGGCGATCATGTCCATCATGTACCTACGCGTCATCTCACGTGACACGATGGATTCCTTGATGGGGTCAAACCTGAAATTGTTCAGGTCATACGGTGGAGGTGATGAGGCTGCAGACATGGAAACTGATGCATTGCACGGAGAGGACTTTGCCTTGAGATGGAAAGAAAGTGGTGGTATGGGAACCCCATGGAAGGAAGACTCAAAGAGGGAAGTGTTTCTGTAAAGTTTGGTAGAGGAAGTGAGAGTAGTAGCTACGGATGATGCCATCACTGCCTGAGAAAAAAACAAGAAAGGGTGATCTTTTTGGGGTTCCTTTGCAGCTTAGAGCTGAGAAGATAGCAAAAAGAAAGTGAGGAGATATAGCAGTGGAAAGTGAACAAAATATCTGAGAGGACACTTGGGAACAGGATAGGATTTGAAGGGTCTAGAATCGTTAGGATCCTCTTGTTGAAAGATGTGATCGCCCTTTTTGCAGGGTGAGTTACGTCATTCAAGAAAGTACTTTGTCCTTTTGGTGCGTTTGGCTTTAGCCAATTTGCAGGCGACCGCTGTATCTGATCCCCACTTTCTGCTTTCTTTGTCGTGTGGGATTGTCTGGCACACCCTTCTGTTGCTCTTTTGTCACCAAGAGCTCAACTTTTGGTCATCTTTTTGACACTTAATTTGTTGCACTAGGAAGGTAGACAACTTGACAATACTGCCTTGGATTCTTCATGTGAAAGGCATAATAATTGTTCATATATATGCACTTTCCAAGCTTGCGAAATAATTTGGCAAGTGTCTACATGCATCTTACAAAGATAACAATCACATATTTCATTGTCAAATGAAAACTTCACAACCCTACTCTTCAAGAACTTCATTAATGGTGAAATTGACACATCACTAATATGCGATAGCAAAAGGGTTATCCAAGTTTTGATTTAAACCCTTTTGCAAGAGAAAAATAAACACCTTTATTAATGGTAAAAATGGCACCATCTGGCAACCAAAGGAACACTAGGGAAGAAGGTTGGCCATGGTAGATTCCCCACAAATCCAAACTAGAAACTTAAAAGAGAAAAAAGGGTTGTCATTATTTGAAATATGAAGCAATCTTCAAGGTATAAGATTAGTGAGGCACGTCCCCAAAATAAAGACTAAAAATGCCAAAGAGGAAAGAAAGTGATGGAAGAGAGATTTGATGGAACTTTTGCATTGACAATGGCAACCCCCAAATTTGTCCTCTTTATAGAGCTAAAATAATAATATCACAATTTAACAGAATGTATTTCACCATTTTGAGTTTTAACTTGTCTTTTGTTATCTTTTCCTCAAACCTTTAAAGAATCAAAACAAATAATCCTTATTTAATATTAGTGTCTATTAATACTTACTCTTTTCATCTCTAAATATTTTTCTTTCTGATGCTCTTGTAAAATTAAATTATAATTATAATTATAATATATTTTGTTTTAAAAATTTATTTTTTTATAATATAGATGTTAATATGAAAAAAAAACAAATAATAAATTTGTAATATAAAAAAATAAAAATAGTAATATTGGGCTTTTCTTTATTCCCTCCTTGCCTCTGGGCTGGGTATTGGTGCAACTTGGAAGCACTCATCTCATTCAAAGTCTCAAACTAGATTGTTGGGCCTCCTTGGACTAAATAACCCTTTTCATGAGCTTTGGGCTGAGTTCAAATTTAACATAAAGAAGTTTTGAGGTAATGGGCTTGGGTTCTTTCCAGCACAAGATAATAATCTTCGCATCATGTAGAAAACTAAAATATTTTTATGTAATAACACCTCGCTTTTTTTAATGGACAAGCAAAACTAGAAGAAAAAAAAAACATCTTATTTGGATTTAACATTTTAAAAATATCTTAAGACTTGGAGATGTATCTTCTTTGCCTTCCTAAGTTCTAAAATAGTGCATAAGTACACTTGTTAGCCAAAGTTTGCAAAACCCATCTCTTGTAATTGCTTACACTACATTGTGTTTATGTCATGCTAAGCGTTTGTAAAGAAGTGTTGTATTCTATTACACTCGCATTTCGAACTCTCTGGTTGGGAAGATGCACAAGCAAGAGGATTGTGTTCATGTCATGCCAAGTGCTTTTAAAGAAGTAGGTAGAATATTTCGATTTCACACCTAAGAGAATTAGGAAAACCTTATAAGTGTGGATGTTGAATACCTCAATTGATTAGTATTTTGAGAAGAAGACAATAATCCGTGACAAAGTAGTATCGGAGTAGATCCAACCTAGATATGATCCATACCCAATATTTTCAAAAGAGAGACAGGTATGATGATCGACAATAGTGAAAACATTGTCAAATTGAAGGGACAAAATATCAAGTCAAAGTATTTTAAAAGAAGTAAGATGTATCAATTTCATATCACATAATTGAAAAAGTTTTAAAAAATTTATTAATGCGAATATTGCACACCTTGGTTGACCTTTAGGAGAGAGTATTAGGATAATTCTGCAAACTTCTACACACCTCAATAGGTTTATCTTTAGGAGAGAATGACACTTACATGAGAAGATGCACAAGCAAGGGATAAAATATGCTTCTTTTCCTTCACCTTTTTGGCTGGAATATAACATTACCAGATAATGCTCATGTCAATTCAATGAAAAAATCATCTTAGAAATGAGAATATAGTTATTCCTGGCTGATATTCGTTCATCTCTAATGGAATATTTCTACTATTATTGCATATATCTTAGCAGCTTAGGGCATAAAACTCCACGACTCGCATAACCATGACCACTTTTGCCCTAATTTTTCATACCACAAGCTTGGCCTGCTCCCTTAAGTTTGCCAATATTTTTATAGATTGCATTAGTTTTTCTGGTAGGTGAATTCATTGGCCTCTGATGCTTTGTTCAGTCTGTTGACTAACATCCCCCAAGCACTTTTCAAACTCCTTGAGATCCTCGCAGGCAATTTTCATTTTCAGTTTCAGATTTAAGTATTATTGTAGAAGCAACGTTTTGAGCAAACAAGAACAGGGTCGCAACCAATTACTGAGGCAGTGAGGCTGGAACAGAAGAAAAGAAGCAGGGAGCAGAAACCAGAGACCAGAGACCTAATGCTCTTAAAGCAAGTGCAAGAACCGGCACAAAAAATCTCTCCCTATAGCTCCACATTACCAAACATGATCATATCTAAGATCCATACAACCAATAGCCCAAATAAATCTTGTGCTTCATCAGATGATTAGATAAACCCAAACAAAAAATGCAGAAGATATTCAGATGACTAAAAGACCACTTGTTTAACTTTGAGTCATAGAGAAACAAACTTTTATAGATAGCATAATCATCCAACAGTACATAATTGAGGGAACTAGAAAGCACAAGAAATACAAGATGCATATGTTGTTATGAAACCAACATGGAGATGATATAAGACCATAGATATTATCCTAATCAGATAGAATTTTCTGCTACACAAGGTGCGTGACTTAGCAGAAAAATTTAAGCAGCTGCATCTTAGAAACCATGGATTTTGATGTTCTCCTTCTTCACAACGCCAGCCTGGTCCAAAAAGAAAGACAATGAAGTTTAGGAACTTGAACACCACACTGCATCAGATTCACTTTTGTTTATCATCACATGTGACATTGAAATATTCAAGAAGCAAAAACAATTACCTGAACAAGGAAGGTGGAGACATTCTTTCGCTGGTCACCTTGAAGTTGAATAACCTGAATATAAACAGCAATACAACAAACTTAACCACTGGGCACCAATAACAGATATTGACAAGGTTAATAATCTCTTACGGGTTATACACACACCTGCCCTAATTCAGGGTCCTGAACCACGGTGCCATTGCAGCAAAACTCCTTCTTAAGGTCTTTAAGTATCTTGTTATAGCTGAATTCTTTCTTCAACCCCTGGACAGTTGTCAGGCTTTTCCTACCATTCCGCTGCTGGATACGAATGTGAACATACTCCTTTGCACCGGCACCTGAGTCCTCAGCATTTGCATCAGCAAAGGGATCTAGCACAACAAATACAAAATACAAGTTAAACCCATTTTAACAACAACAGACAAATCAACAACAAAGATGTACAATGGGACTTGGGAAGTTAGGATCCAAGCATACCAAAGGTAGTAGGAATCTGGACGTCGAGATCAGACATGAAACTTAGTTGATCAAAGAGGCCTAACAACCACAAGCTCAGACCTAAATATGCAAGGCAATACCCACATCAGATATGAATTTATATATCACCATCAAGAATAAGAATAATATACACATAAAATCAAAAAATAAAAGGAATCCTAAATTCCATTTGGCAACCAACCAAAGTGGGCATCTCATTCCCTTCTATCAACAAGTTAACAGAACAAACAAAAGCCTTACAAACCTCACAAAAAATAAATAAAAGAAATAAGTATCTGATCATTGTTAAATCTAAAACCATTAGCTAATCTGGAAACAAGTATAATCATAACAAGATTCAAACTTGTACCCAATCCCTCCCAACGAGGATTAAAGTCTTCCCTATTTGGTCTTCCACTTTGTCAAAGATACCAAAAAAGAAACAAAACAACACGATATTTTACCCCCAAAATTTTCTAATTTATGCATTAAGGGGCCAAATCTTAACCAATTAGCTACAACCTCATTCCAGAAATCATTACAATTAATCCAAAAAGCACAACAAAAAGTCAATTACCATGTTTACAAAAACCAAACATCTAAAAACTCAGTATTTTAGATTAATATTCTTTTTCAATCCAACCAAACTATACACAAACATTACAAAACAAAATCCCAGACCTAAAAAAGTAACCTTGAATCTTAAATTCCGTTCATTTCTTTCAGCCAAAAAGATTCTTAATCTGATCTAAATACAAACAACTAGCATACAAATTAAAGACAAAAAGGGAGAAATCTCGATCATATATACAAAACCCATGATCAGAAAAGCTCTAGATCAATCACCGACTGAAAAAAAAATTGATCTTTAACCTACAAAAACAATAGAATTCAGAGGAAAATTAGAGAAGATATATAGGAAATTTACCTGATCCGGGGATTTTAGGGCTTTTGTTAGATAATTGAACTTCGGATTACGAGATAATAATGAAACCCTAAAAATCGGATAAAGTCTGAGAGGCGTTCCTCGGCGTGGTAGGGGTGGTGGTGGAGTTTAGCTTTTTCGTTTGGGTGGAGTGGAAATTAAAAGGAGAGAGTTTTACCCAATAATTTATTTAATTAAAAAAAATTAAGGAAAAGACCCTTTTTTTCTTTTTGTGGGTATTTTTGGGATTTTAATAGGTTGCACGCAAGTTGAGGCGATTGGTTTTTACTCCTGCGATTAGAATTCAATATTGTACTCGCTATTAACAGCTTGTGACCATAAAATTGGGCACGTGGCGGTTGACAGAGTGAGACGTGAGGTGGTTGTGTTGAGGAGAAAGGAGCGGAGTTGTTGAGTTGGAAGGGTAGAATTGTCAACGTAAATGGAAATTGTTGAGAAAAAGGGCGGTTTGAAAAGTTAAAACGACGACGTTGGGTGCTGGGAAAAATCCTTAACAAGGGCACGTACGGTTCTGTTCATGTCTTGTAGCGTAGGACTGAATGACGTTAGTTTTAGATAAAAGTGGTCCGATTACCCCGAACCAAGTCCTTCTGTCATGCAGTCATTATTTTTTTTCCTATAAAAGAGCTTAAGGAAATATACAATACACCGTTTATAAAAAATTTAATATTTCTCTTTTTTATTTGATGTGAGATAAAAATACTTTTTTCGTGACATTCTCTTTCACGATCACCCTCTTTACCCTGAGTCTCCTTGGACCTAGACGTTGCTTATCTTGAACCACGTAAATTAGACGAGGTCCAATCTGCTCGGATACCACTTCTCACGGAATCATTACCCTCTCCTTTATAAACGCTTTTATAGAAATATGCAATACACCAACTTATAAAGAACCCAAGACCTCTCATTCCTATCTGATGTGAAGTAGAGACACTTTCCTCATGACACTTCCCTTTTGTTTCTGGATAAGATTAATAAATTTACAAATTTAAATATAAAAAACTTATTATTCTAATTACGATTGAGTTAAGTTCGATTATTATTATCAAATTTAATCGTAAATACAAGATATTGTACAATTTACAGTAAATTACGAAAAAAACTTTTTACAATGATTACGATAAATTTGTGTATTTTCATAAAAATAAATGAATGTTTACGATTATAATTGTTTAAATCCCGATATTAAACCGGACCGAAAAAAATTTATAAATTATAAACAAGAAGACTATGTGACTTAAAACATGTATATGCATAAGCAAAACTCAATCTGGCCATTTTTTTTTTTTCATAATGCAATTGCTATATTTTTCCATGAGTAAACTTTGTCTTCTACAAGTATTAGTGATAAGGGGAAGGGGTATACAATTGAATCAAGCAACATTGATTTCCTCAGCTATGCTCATCTCCTCCAATAACTGAACTTTTGGCTCTAAATCGATGAACTGGTTGGACTTGCTGGCTAAATGTGAAATGCTAACCCTTCCCTGATGCTTGATATAGTCGGCTACAGCCTTCATCTCCTCCAGGGAGATGTATATATATTTCCCTCTGTCATCCATGACGCCAGAAAGTCGACCTGTGCACACGATAAATAAAGGATAGATGAATAAGTCATTAAGTTTTATATGACAAGCACTTAAATTGTTCATTGGGTGAAAGTAGTTCAAGAATAGAAGGTTATGAACGGAAGGAAACATGAAAATTACATACCCATACTTTCGAGGGAGGTGATCCTATTGATACATTCCTGCATTGATGATAAGTTGTAGTTAAAAGTTAGAAAGCAGAATCTAGGATAGGAACAGGATGGATGAAGAGAGGCTAGACAGTTCAATTTACGGGCTCCCTTTATTTGCTATAACTAAAGTCGACATATGAAAGGATTCAATTTAAAGGGGAAATTAACTATTAGGAGCATATACCTGGGTTCTCAGCTTGAATTCTGCAGCAAGATCTTCCAAAGGAATACATTTATGATTCTGCAAGATCATATACAAATACATAAATAAACAAAGAGCAACACAACAACACTCATTCCAAAGCCTCACGGGCACCTAATAAACTGTGTAGACTAATACTTATTCTGTCATTATATAGCACAAATACTTCCAAAACCTCTATTAAATTCTGATTAAAAAGCTTTTAGATCAAAAAAGTTTACATTTGTTATTCATTTGCTCGTCAAAGGAAAATGATCAAAGCAAGAGGAGACGTAGGAGGCTGAAAACAGCAAAAGAAAATACTTGTCTGCCTATCATGATTTAGAGTAAGAAATCAGTTAATACAGGGCTCAAAATTACCTTAATGTATTCCACAAAAGTGGAAAGCAAGTCCTGACTTCCATCTTGCACTTCATTCTCAGTGGTTCCTTCAGCATCAACAGAAAACTCCCCTTTCCACTTCTCAAACTCCAATGCAGCAGCTTCTTCCTCCTTGGCCTTTCGAGCTTGAGCTTCTTCTTCCTAGATAAACCATAGCAAATATCTTAAATTGGGAAATTATATATAAGTGGTTATGTGTGTGGATTCTGAGTACATCACGCCACAAAGCTGAAGGCAATCAACACACCAGCCTACGCTCCTCTGCTTCACGTTCCTCATCCTTCCTCCTCCGCATTTCAGCATATCGGTCCTGTTTGGTCAGCCTTGACTCCCGAGCAGCTTCTTCAGCCTTGATCAAAAGTCATACGACCTTAGTGAACATTGGCAACAGGTCCAAGCATAACAGAATATAAAAAAAGTAAAGACTGAGATAATGATGATGTACCCTTCTTTGTGCATCCCTTTCTTGCCGCTTCTTTTCTTTTTTCTTTGATGCTTTAGCCTCATAATACCCATCTGCCTCATCTTCTCCATCACTTCCATCAGCAGTTTCTGCAATGACATTTGGATAAATAAATACTTCAGTCAGTGCCAGTCATCCCAAGCAGAGAAAACACCATTTTAAGGAAAGAAAACTAGGCTGTCATACAAGCGTAATTCAAATTTAATGCTATAAGAGAGAAAAGAAGGGGTGGGGGATTATTAAGAAAGCATCTCAGATTACAGCTGAAGCTCACACATCCTTGCACAAAACCAAATCTTTCCTCTCTCTCATTCCTCGTAAAAAAAACATTTAAGACATCAAAGATAAGCCATTCCTTAGTATGGTATTAATCTACAAATAACATAAACTCCCTATATTCACTAACAATCTTAACCACCTTAAACCTGAAGCATCACTCCACAAAACTAACCACTGTTTCACCTCACATCTCTTTCCTAAATTGAAAGTAATTCCACTAATTGACAGAAATAATAACATCCAGAAAAGATAATCTGCTGAATGGTCATATATGTTCCTCCACACATTTCATACACAGATTTCATAACTATAGCAAGAAAGTCCCATATGTCATCAAATCAGTAAAATTTGTTCAACTCCTCAACAAACCAATCAAATTTCACATTCTTTCCAATCAACAAACCTTCAGCAGTTGCAGCGGATGATGACGTGCTAGCTCCTCCGGCAGCCGGTCTCCTCCGCATCCTACTCCGACCACCAGTGACTCCACCACGTACTACATTTTCCGTCCTGGGAGCCTGCAATCCACACAAACCAATTAATAATCGCATAAAATTAAAAAAACCAACAAAAATTAGAACTTTCAATACTCCAAATATACCTGGCGTTCTTCAACGTGTTCATCGGTTGATCGATTATCCTGACGGCGTTTCCAAAGATAAAATGGAACTAATGCGAGGACAAGAAGCATTGAAAGTACTAGAGCAAATATTTCCTCCATTTCTATATAACTGCCAATAGAAAAGAATTACTCAAACAAAATGGATATGGATTGAATGGTAAAAATATACTCAAACCCTAACATGGAAAAGATATACTTCAAGTCCTAAAATTGATGACAAATTATGCTAAATTTTGAATCTTTTTCAATTAATCGAAAAGAAAAATGAAAACCCAGATTGATGAGCGGCAACTCTAGGTTTGGCTGCCGAGAAAATTAAAGAAAGATATAGAAAAAGCAAGAAAGGAGAGCAGATTTTCAAGAAGATACCTCAGGCAAGAACCAAAGGAGGGAGACTTTCTGTGGATAGATGTCCAATTTTAACAGTTGCTATAAAGAACCAGCAACGACGTCGTTTACTAGTTGACCAACTAACTTAGAATTTTCTCTCTTTTTATTTTTAATTTTTTATGTCTAAGAACATTTTATGAATAAATTCAATTTTGGGTATTTAAATTCTGTTGCAAAACCAAAAAACATTCCTTGATAGGAAATTAAGAATTGTTTATAGTTTTTTTTTGGGGGGTTTTCGTATGGATAATTGTTTGCTTTTCTTATTTATAGAGGAAAGAAATTAATCCTGGTACATAAATAACCAAAGCTACCAAGTGTTTAGCAGCAGAACAGAAATTTCTTGCTCACATGGTAATTTACAACAAAGCTTAAACAATTAATCGATGCTTCCTGATTCAGATTCCAAGCTTTGGCACAACAACTTTTATTCTAAAGCTTGTTCAGATTCATATATCAAAGCTTCATGGCTTCAGCAGCAGCTTGAAGGGTACCAAACTTCCATGTCCAGGAATATGGCATTGGGACCTGATTAGCTTCACACCAAATTCTTTTTCAGCTGCTTGTAAGAACGGCAAAATTTCATGTCCAACAAGCTTACAAAACTTATAGTATCATATGATTTTAGCGACCTGCTTCAGAAAAAGAATTACTTATTAATGGTTCAGCAAAGCTTTCAGCTGTGAGCGAGGGGACTTGATACTGGGAACAGGCATCTGCAATGGGAGATCAGGATTTCTGCTTCAAAATTAGGACTTGAATGCCTCCTTATCGAGGGCCTCAACGTGTAATCTGGATGTGCACACCAGAGTCCACCATTACCTTGCACTTTGCTTGTTGTTCATCGAACTCCATCGCATCTTTCATCAACAGCTGATAGAGGCTCCCCACGTCTGTAAAGATCCCAAACCCACTCTACCAATCCCATTTGGTCGTTTCTAGGATCTCTTGCCTTCTACCAGTCACAAGTTCTAAAGTCACAACCCCAAAGCTGTAAACGTCTGACTTGCTGCTTGCTTTACCTGAGATTACATATTCTGGAGCCATGTAGCCCAAAGTTCCAGCCAAACAGGTTGTTCGAGGATCTAGCTCGTGGTCCATCAGCCGAGCTAAATCCAAAGTCACCAAGCTTGACATTGAAGCCAGAATCCAGCAATACATTCCCAGGTTTGATGTCCCGGTGCACCACACACTGCTCCCAATCGTTGTGAAGATAAAACATTGCTGTTGCTAAACCAAGACAAATCTTATACCTTACAGCCCAGGTTAGAGTACAATTGTGGCTAAATAAGTGAGAATCGAGACTACCATTGGGCATGAACTCGTACACAAGCAGGAACTGACCTTTTTCATGACACCAGCCAATGAGTTGCACCAGATTCCTGTGTCTTAACCGGCTAACAATCGTCACCTCAGCTAAATACTCCTTTTCTCCCTGTTTAGAACCCTTAAAATTTCTTCACGCTACATCTGTCCTAACTCTGGAGGTGTCCTTGTAAACAGCTCCAAATCGCCCTGGCCCAACTTCCTATCATCTGAAAAATTGTTGGTGGCTGAGATAAGATCTTTGTAAGAAATCTTCTTGGTCCTGCTCCTCTTCAAGGTCATGAATAATCCAAATTAAGCTATTCCTCTGGATTCTCCTGCTTGTTTCAATTTCCTTCCCCAAATTGTAAAAAATGCCACAAACACCCAACTACTAGAGCACCAAAACATAGCAGTGCAATATCATTATGATCTTTAGTCTTTGATCCTTTGTCTGCTGGAACCCAAGCTGGAACTGAACTGCCATGATTTAAGTATATGTTTCTCGTTATAAAGACCTGTTGCAGCGCCAATCCCAACCTTGACCCACTCCATGGGTAAAACCTCCCTCAGATCAACATGGAAAGAAAGACTAGAATTTTCTTGAGGATTAGAGGTGGCCTTGTAACTCCAAGACACAGTCAAGTTCTTTGTGGAAGCATTATAAGAAATCCATGCATCAGCAGTATCTCCGCTGTGAAAGCTAGCATTCCAAGGTGTGAACACAGAAGAATTGAGCGAGTTGATATTGATGCCCACATGCTCATAAGGAGGATCCCATCTGTCTGAGTCCGCAAAAGAGTCAAACTCAACTACAACAATTTGATGCTTCTGCTGTGATAACTCAGAGATTAAGGCGTTAGGAAATAGGCCTAAACCACCCCCACCTGAATTCACAGGAGATTGAAATCCAAGAGGAACAATGAAAAAGACTATCCCATCACCATAATCTGGGTGGTTAGGACCTAAGGTATCGATAGTGAAGGAAAAATGGGTGGTAAAGTCAGTAAGCTGCTTGGTAACCAAGTCCTGGAGCCGGACAGGCTCTGTACAAATAACTTGGCCAAGACGATAATGCCAATCCTTGTTCAAGTCCATGGCTCCAGCAGAAGGCCTTGCATCTCCCCTGTATTCAATGTCTGTCATGTTAGAAACAAAGTGAGTTATGTTGAAGGAAACCGACTCAATCAAAGGGAGGAAGAAAAGAAATGTTGTAAAAATGGTAAGCCGCTTTATGAACGAGTCCATTGAGACTACAATGTGACAGAGAAAAGGAAGGAGGTAGGTTATAACTACTTCCTAGGATTTGATATGAAAAAGTTAGAAGTTGATGATTACACATTTGACAGGAAAAGGTACAATTATTAATTAAGAGAAAGTTACGAATCTGTACCATGAAACCAGGCAGGCTGATTCACGTGTCCAAGAAACTTCAGAATAATATTTTAAGGTTTCGTCAAATAAACTTTGTCAGCAAACTTCACCGGCACAGAATGTTCACATTGACCTGTTGATAGCAAATCATTTCATCTAAGACATTAAGCCAAATCAATAGATTATTTCCCGTAATCCATGTTTAAGTGTCACATAAACTCTTCGTAAAGTACTTCCAACTCGAATCAGATAAATAAAAAATTTTAAAAAATTTATAAACACAAACGTTGCATACCCGGTAAATTAACTTTTTGATAAGAAAATCATGAGGATTTTGATAAACTAATATTAGAGCAATCCAACCTAGACTCCACTCATACCAAGCACTTGCCGATTGACTTAATTCTTTTTCTATTAAAGATTCGACGTAGTTTCTTAGTGTGGAACATGCTGCTTTTGTTTATATCCTCCTTGGGTTGCTCTCCTAGATATTTCCAGGCGCAGGGCCCCGTCAAATCATGTGTATTTCGCAGAGATACATGTACATTCCATGGTACTCTCCTTTCATGACAAAGCCAAGAAATTTGGTCCTAAGGATAAAGAGGAAAAAACCAAGAGATTAAAAAAAAATAATAATGAAGAGAAAGAACCTGCTGCCCTATTGGACAAATGTGGAAGAAATTCCCCTTGCTTTCACATTGTTCAACACATCTTATAAAAAAATTTCATATTCAAAATATTTTAGGTTTAATATTCATCTTAAAATTTAACATGACAGCAAAGCAAACGTTACTTTTATTTGTTGATTTTTTTATAAACTTTTTTATTTATAATCAATTATTTTTAAATTAGATATTCGTCTTAAAAGTTTAACAAGTTTTCATAGTCGGGAATCATGAGAAATTTTAGAACGAAAATGAAGGTAAGAAAGTTAAGCAAGTATTTCATCTTGACAAATTAAAACTACAATAATAATTCAAATACACTTCAAGGAGACCTTTTTATTCCTAAAAATATGTTCATGTGAATCTCTTGTTCATAATAATGTTCATGTGAATATCTCAACACTTACTCCTAAATCAAGATTTAATGTTACATTTCCGCATTTTTTTATCCAATTTGAATTACTATTTATCTTGCAATATGAATAATGCATTTTCTTTTAAATTATATATATATATATATGTTAACATGAAATATTATTATACTCCATCCATTTTATTTTTTGTTCCGATTTTCTTTTCGAGATGTATCAAAATGAAGTTCGCATTACTATTTCCGTATGACAAATTTACATCTAGAATATAATTTTTTTAAAAAATTTTAATATAATATATATCAAATTCAAAACTTTTTATATTAATTCTTGTTATAGTTGAAGAGAAACAATTATTTAGGGACGTAAAAAATGGGAAAACATTAAGTATATATACTAGCGATATATCTATTTATCAGTCCAATAAGTAAAAGTTAGGATTAAATGTCCAAACCCGGCCCATTGGCTTTCTGAAATGATAATGGGCTGGTAGCCCATGATTCTAATTAGGAAAATGGATTTGGAAGTGATTGTGCTTTCATGGGCAACCCAAAATGTATAAAATGTTTGGATACGTGACTAGAATGAAATTGGAATATTTAATGGGTGAAATTGCAATTCTAAATATTTATAAACCAACCCATATCAGTATCAATAATTACAATCAACCCATTGATCTGTACTGGTGGTTTCTTATTTATCAAATTAATTAAAAAGAGAGTTTATATTCTATACAATGTCAGCTAATATTTTTTATGCACTATTACTTAACTATATAGTGAAATTTCGTAAATTTAAAAAATAATATATCAAATATAAACCTTTTGAGAAAAAAAAAAACAATTTCGATATTTAAGTCATGAATGTTCTTCGAGGGTGAAAGTTTTCTTAATAGAAGAAAGATTAACAAGTTTTTACTAAGAAAATGACCATCCTTCAATTAGGAAAATAGGAATTTGTTCTGATTCCATTCAAACAAAAACATGGTTCCAACATATTTACATCCTAATTTTAGGTCATGTCAAGAGGCAAGTAAATTTCCAAACTCTCAAACCTAAAGACCCAAAGCCACTAGTTCAAGATTCAGAACCAAAACAATATACCCCTTATATTTCACCAATTACATAATAATTAGTTAAGTCATCAAATTCCTTTTAGACCCCAAAACAAAAACTTCCCAACACATTCCACAATAATGCTTTCACTGGCTTGTAGAGTATCTTGTGTTCCAGTACTTCTCAATCTCCTCAGCTGTTCTTCCAGGGATTCTCCCAGCAATCAGTGTCCATCTGGTACAACATGTTGCACCTTCTTTTTTAACATAAAAATATTTTGAAAAAGACAAATATATGTATGTGTATGTATGTATGAACACGCGCTTGTACGTATGTGTACATGCGCGCTTGTTCGAAAAAGTTTGAAAAAGAACAGAAGATGTACTACCTTTCTCCAACCAAGTTAAACATCCTGATTATCAGTGTTTCCTCATCTTCTGAGAACTGAAGTTCAGAATCTTGTTTATTGTGATCCTCTGGAAATGAAATAACTCAGGTTAGAAAGCACAAAGGACATTCTGGTTTCAAGCTTCTTTCAAATATAAGAAAAGGTATAGGAAGCGAAATACTCTACTCAAAACTATAAAACGAAACTTGGGTGTTTTTCTTTTCTGCTTCTTTTCAACACCTAAATGATGAGTCAAACATTCAAACTCTAGTCAGCCATATGAAAAGCTGAACGTTTTGATGGTTTTTTTCCTTTGAAAAGGGACATAGTTGAGAGAAACTTGAAAGCTAAAATTTGGAAGAAAAGTATGGTGACATCAGGATTACAATATTGTAGAACTTTCTGCTGCAGAATATAAAAGAGAAAAAAGCCTAAATTTGTCTTGTCATAGCCAAACCCGAAAACAAAAAAGATGTAAAACAATGATGAATAAGAAGAAAAATAAACAGGAAATGGGATCTTAACAGTAATGGACATTTGGGATTTGAAGAACAGGGCTAAGGATTTTACCTATAGAGTCCATAGATGCATCTTCACTAGAAGAGTGTTCTGATTCAGCCATTTTCTTCTTCTTCTTTTTTTTTCACTCAAAGAATGAAACCTCAAAGCACTTAACCCTTTGTCAGAGAGTCACAAGAGAATTATGAGTTGGAGAGATGTTGGGGAACTGGAGGCATTTAAATACTATTTCATGCATGACTGAGAAAGAGAAACATTCTCCTACAGGAAGTTTACTAGGAGGGAGAATGGAAGGTGGGAAAGGAATATTTTGTAGAATGGTAGTTGGCAAAGAGAATAAGGGGTTTGGTATGTTAGGTGAATATAGATTACTGATAAAGTTTTTGACATGAATTTAGAAAAGGGTTGTACTGTACCAAAGGTAGCATCTGATCAGTTGTACCTGTATGATTAATAAATATTCCACAATTGAATCATGTTTCAGATTTTTAGCAGGTTTTGTCATCTAGTTCATCTGCTATCTTCTGCATCTGATGTAATAATTTTCCTGGTTTTACCAATATGACACATGGGAGTTGAAAGTGGTAGTAATAGGACTTGTAATTCACAAACCCCACACTCTACAAACAAAAGTATGGAGATGAATGGTTGTATCAGAGGAAACTCTTGTCCTGGCAACTTGAAACTTCATCTGACTCTCGTTTTCATGCACCCAAAGGAAAGAAAATCCATCTTGTTTTGATTTGAGTTTCAGTTTGATTCAGCTAATCACCATGAATACTAGAATGGAACTGCTCCGTATCCAATATTCAAATGGTTCGAAGTTTGAAGTTCCTGCTTTCTCAACCTTCCCCAAGAAAACATTCTTCCACTAGCTTCATTAAATTATTTGAAGTTGCAATGCACTTTGTTTTAAAGTCCTACCCAGCCTGCAATTAGTACCCGCAAAACATGCAAGGGCTGTCCCTTTGCTATTACTCCAACTCAACATCCTTCTTAAAATTCCAAAGAAACCAAAGAGCAGGAGGTTTCTTTATGGATTGGCTAGTCGGACTACCAAAAATGTAGAATAATAATAACTTTATACCTCAGGACCCACCTATGCACCATGCGTACAAAGCAGATGATAGGAATAAGAGAAAGGAAAAGAGATTAGTCTCACATCAGCGTCATTGTCACGCTCATGAAACAGAGCCATATGCCATTTGTTCTGATTGAAACTTGCTTAACAGAGCCATATGCCATTTGTTCTGATTGAAACTTGCTTACTTATTTTGTCACAAGCCAACAAAATTAGCCGGGGATAAGTTAGCATCAAGAATTTGATCAGTGGCCATATAGAGCTAAGATTAGCATAGCTGGGCATTCTTCAGCCATATATTATTATTAAGTTAATTGTAAAAGGTCTTGGTATTCTTTTCTTTTCCTGAAGTTTTATTTTTGTTCTCTTTTGGCCCAAAAGGATGGATTCTTTTCCTCCTGCACTCCTGTTCAATCATTTCTTCCACAGTTTCTTTGCATGCGGCTTAAACATGATGATGGAAACAGAAGAAAGTTTATTCCCCCTTTTTTAGCATAAATTAAACAAAAGAAGTCTTCCTCTTCTCAAAATTTAGAAGACCAACTCTGTTTCTCTTTCTCTTTAAGCATAATCCACTCCTCACTCTGTTCCTACCATTAACCCTTTGAATGTTAATCTCATTTTAGTTTGCTATCATTTCAACTGTTCCTCCCGTGGGATTTGGTGAATCACATGAACACAGTGATGAACATCAGCTGTATATTTACAGCCACAAACTCGGAAGAGAACTGAACTCTGAGCGAAATCCATAGACAACTTAAAACTGCACCAAAACTAAACCGGTAACCAGGCATCGAGAAGCATCTTTTCAAATTTAACAACACAACCAAGTGCCAACTTAAGAATTGTACACAAGTTTATAGAAGCCATCCCTTATCACATATTGCAATACTAATTCAATTATAGGACTTTGAAAAGCCAAATAGACATTAAAAGGGAATACCATGGCATGTTGTTTTAACTTCAAATTTGTAGCAACAACCCAGTGTGATAGAAAAATAGTAACGGTTTCCATTGTCATTCAACATCACATAAGCCAATAGTTGAAACCACAAGAAACACAGGACGTATATAACAGTGTCAAACCAACATAGAGGTAATATAACAGTACAGATATAACTAATAGTTCATCAGGTAGGATTTTCAGCTTGGAACTGGAGGCTAGACTCCCAGAAATTTTTGCAGCTGCAACTTAAAAACCATGAATTTTGATGTTATCCTTCTTCACAATGCCAACCTGTTATCAAAATGAAAGCAAATGTTATTAAGAACTTGAAACAACATGCCTAAACTAAACATTCAATTACTCAGACATGCATGACTAAGTAAGTAAACACTGACCCTTCCAGTCAGTCTTAAGAATATGCAAACATTCCAAAGGGTAGTGACAATTACCTGAACAAGGAAGGTGGAGACATTCTTCCTCTGATCACCTTGAAGTTGAATAACCTACACATAAACCACATACATAATGAACTTAACAATGGAATACAACCACAGAGGCAGGGAAGGTCACTTTCTTAGGAGGATAGACACACACCTGCCCTAGCTCAGGGTCCTGGACAACAGTGCCATTGCAACAGAATTCCTTCTTAAGGTCCTTGAGAATTTTGTTATAGCTGAATTCTTTCTTCAACCCCTGGACAGTAGTCAGGCTTTTCCTACCATTCCGCTGCTGAATACGAATATGCACATACTCCTTGGCACCAGCACCAGAGTCTTCAGCATTTGCATCAGCAAACGGATCTAGTGACACAGCACACTCTACAAGTTAGATTTTCCATGATCAAGATAAAATGATTCGTTGTAGTAGAGATCAATATGAGGGAGAAATGCTTACCAAAGGCAGTAGGAATCTGGACGTCAAGATCAGACATGAAACTTAGCTGATAGAAAGAGCCGAACAACTAGAACACTCAGGCCTACATTGCAAGGCGAACCTTCATCAGTGATTTCATTGCACTAGATCAAAGTAAGTTTCTTCTTTCTACACATCTCTCAAACAAACATTTCACTACCTTATTTTCTGCTAACAAGAAAAAGAAATCAAAGGACAGAGAAGTGTTCATGAAAATAAAAATTTAGTATTCTTGGTTAATCCAAAGCTAAATAAGGACAAAGCACCATAAGACTCATAATTGTTCCAAGAAAAAGCCATAAACTCATTTCGGCACATTTGACTCACTCAATACAATAAGTCCACAAAATCAAACATTTGAAACACGAATCAAGTGGACCAGTTTTACAAACAGAAACACAAAACGCTTTTACAACTTTATGATATCAAAGACTGAGTAAAACTATAAAAGGTACAACTTTTGCATACGGGGAAACTGATTTTCCAACACCCCAAATTGGAATAAGCATTATGCTGATGTAGTCTAAAGCGGGTACCTTTAATTTTACCCGAAAAAATTTCAAGGACACACCAATGCTAAATTATATCAAAGTAGTAATTTTTTCATGGTGGGGGATTTCAAATAAAGATTATAAATTTCAATTAAGGGGGCAAAAAGAACCAAAGAAGTGTTAAACTTTGTCTATTTCACCAAAGAAAGCATATATCTTGCTGAATTAATAGTAATAATAGTTGCAACAGAGCCAAAAACGGAATATTTCTTTTTTGTAATCTTTCTTAAAACAAAATTTCCAATTTCGGACCAACACCAAGGTGAGAACCTTTCACACAGTGAAAACCCTAAAATCAGTCAAAACAACAAGTACCTATACAATTGATTACAATTTTTTTTAACAACATAGAAATTAAAGAACCAATTAAAACGTACCTGATCTGAAAATTAGCGTTTTGGATAATCAAGAATCGAATTATCAAAGTTAAAAAAGAAAAACCCTAAAATTGATGGTCGAAGCCTCAGCTCTCTGTCTCCGTTCGCTGAGTTTTCGAGGGTTTGTTTGGGGAGAGAGAAAACATACAAAAGAAGGATCTGGAAATTCCTTTCCTTTTGAAGTCCTGAATTTATTTTATAATATTTATTTTAATTTAAAGTCGGTGACAGAAAGCGAGTGAGCTGCTCGGCGTGTACTGGATTCTTTTAGTTGGTGATCATTAGGAATGACACGTGGACGATGACTAAGGCGAGTATGAACCTTTTTGTAGACGAGGAGAATGCGTAAGTTCAACGTCGGTAGAGAAATGGGTTCGAATGACAGGCATAATACGACACGGTTTTTTGTTTTTCTCTTAAAAAAATAAAAATACTTAAGTAATTATAAAAAATTAATTCAGTTAATTATGATTAACATATCCTTTAGGGAACTTAAAATCCAACCCATTTGAATTAATAAAAGATACCCCTAACGCTATTTGGTCGAAAATGTAGATCGAATGAATATTTTAATCAAAAAGGTCAAATATTTTCATATTTTTAAATTTTAATTAAAATTTTAGATAAATTCATTATTTTTGGTAATGAATATTTTATTTTAAAAATATATATATCATTATTTAAAATAATAAAAAATTAAAATATTTTTTTATTAATTTACAAAGTCACTGTTATAAATTTTTTTTGGAAAAAACAAGCATCCATTTGGCACTCTCTAGGTCTCCAAGAAAAAGGAGGATTAGCACCAACCGTGCTCTTTTTTTAATTAATAAAAAAATTAATAATAATTATATAATAATTTTTAAAATTAATAAAAATAAAATTATAATTTTAATATTATCACATTATTAAATTAATAAAAATATTAACAATTAACTAACAAGATTTTTTAAGATAAAATAACTATTTTAAAAACTAATAAACTTATTTCGAATTTTGATTAAAATTTAAAAAATTATAAGTATTTATCATAATCAATAATACTTTAACGCATTATTTCTTCAAAAATTTAAATGAAATAAATACCTTAATCAATAATATTATTCTGTCAAAAACTCATACATATAATAAAATTTTTTATGTTGAAAAAAAATTCTTAATTTATTATATAATTCAAAATAATATATTTGTATTAAAAAATATTTGTTAGATCCACAAGGACACTCTTGAGTACACCAAACAAGACCTAAAAGAATAAACAACAGATGGTTAGTGGTAATCCTAAATGATGGATTTAACCAAACAAAAACAAATTGCAGATCCCAATGATAATAATAATAAGGCAGTTTTAGAAGCAAACAGAGCTTGTTTGTTATCACCATTTGCATGCAATAACCAACGTGTTACCATCCCTCGTTACACGTACTCGCCATGCAAAGGCCTGGCTCTCCTATAAATACCCTTCACTCCCCCAACCCCCATAAGCAAGAACCAAAGCCTTGTCATCTAACTAGCTATATATCCACCATGGCGAAGCTCGGTCTCCTCCTAGCCACCCTTGCTCTTGTTCTCTTCCTCGCCAATGCTTCCGTTTACCACACCACCATCACGGTTGACAGCGAGGAAAACCCTCGGGGACGCGAAGAGAGCAGGTGTCAGCAGCAGATAAAGAAGCAGAACTACCTCAGGCACTGCCAGGAATACATGGAGGAGCAGTCCAGAGGCAGTGGCAGGGGCCGTGAGGACTACAACCGCCCCGGGAGCAAGCACCTAGACTCCTGTTGCCAGCAACTGGAGAAGCTCGATGCTACGTGCCGTTGCCCTGGTCTAAAACGGGCAGTGCAGCAACAGACGGAAGAGGGAGAGTTTGGGAGAGAAGAGTTGCAAGAGCTGTATCGGACGGTTGACAAGATCATGAACAAATGTGACGTAGAGCCTAGGAGGTGTGGCTTCCAACCTCGCAACTGGTTCTAGAGAGAAAGAAAGATCAGAACTGCCTGATCTAATGTAAAACAGTGACTGTAATGTTTCACCCATCAACTCTGGTGTTCTAGCTGGAGGTTTTTGGGGTGACTACAAGTACTGCTAATCTATAAATAAAAGCACATTATCGTGTGCGGTTGCTTTTTGCTTCAGGTTAAGATGAAATGAGCATAGTTCATATCAGAGTCAGACTTCAGACCACCAGGAATTCAAGGCACAATGAACTTGCCTAGTTAATCTTATTGAATTTCCTAAAGGCCCATATCAGAAATTTTGGTTAATGCCATATCTCTGAATGCAGGAAAATATTGGAATGATAAATTAAAGGTCAATGTAAGACAAAATTATCAAAAGATTCTTGTTTTACATCAGTTCCTGTAGCTAAAGGGGTGCTGAATTCTGTTTCTCCTCTGGTATTTGGATTTATGAACTGTTGATAATATTGTATATGCAAACACTACAAAGAAAAAGCAATTGCATTGAACAAACAAGATGAATTAATGATGCCATCTGCATTGCACTCTTAAGAGGGAAAAGAATTTATCCATCAGGAAGCTGGCAAAGCCAGTACCTGGAAGAACACCTGCCATCCTAGCCCTTTCAATTTTCCACGTGTAGTTTTACATGTGCAAACCCACAATTTCCCTTTAAAAACCCCACCACCACCATTGGAAAAGATGGAAATTAAGTTAAATTTTTAACAGTTCGATTAACACCAGCGCCATAATTACAATAATGGAAAGTCTGGTCGCACGGCCATTACTTTTCTTTTAGTTCCTTTTGCATTCTCAACTGCCTAAAAAGCTACCATCAGAACTGTCACTGTTGAAGTAAAATTATATTAACAGACAGCTGCCATAGGAAAATCACAGCACCTGCGGAGAAATCCAAAGACTTTGAGCAGTACTTGCCAAGGTCTTGCCTGTCAGTTGAAGTGCTTACCCCCTGAACACACAATGCAGCTATATATGCAGGTGTCAATAGTTGGCAGAAGCAGGAGGGAAGGTTGCAGCCTCGCAGGGGTGACTCAGACATAAAAAATACATGTATATATGATTTTTTTTCTTTTTAAGTACCATGGTGAGTATTATGAATCAGATATAGGATTATCCTTATGCTAATCCTGACCCTTTTACCACTTGAGCTTTATCTGTGTTACATGCTAAATTCTCACAGGGAAGTATCCTAAAACAACTCATCCAGATGCACAGACGTATGAAAGAGGAGAATAGAGCATGGACAATACAAAATTTTCACCTGAACCTCTACCTAATATGAACAGTTGAGCTAAAATGACACACAAAGAAAATCCCGAGATATGAATAGGTGATGTGAAGCAGAGGTGAAACCAATTTATCCCCCAAAAGATACAAATTAACATGGTCAAGACTCAAGATAGAGAGTGAAAGAAATCCCCGTAAGGCAGTTTCTTAGCCAAGCAAAAGCTACTTCTTGACACCATTTGCACGCAAAAAAAAAAAAAAAAAAAACCTTACCTTCCCACAATAAACGTAGTCGACGTGCAAGGCCCTAAGTCTCCTATAAAAAACACCACTCCTCACCCCATTTTTCACCATCGAAGTCATAACCAACCCTTCTCGTCTCACCATCGAAGCCGGACAAGCAATGCGAATGCCCTGGTCTAAAGCAGGCAATGCAGCAACAGATGGAACAAGGACAAATGGGGGGAGAAGAGATGCAAGAGATGTATCAGATGGCTGAGAAAACAATGTCCAAATTTGACATTGAGCCTAGGAGGTGTGACATGCCATTGCGCAGTTGGCTCTAGAGAGAAACATAATCATATCCCAAAATTCAGAACAAATAAAAATGTAGTATCTCACCATTACTCTGGCGTTTTAACTGGAGGTTTTGGGGTGACTACAACTCTTTTCATAATAAAGTACATCATCGTGTGCGTTTTGCTAAGATTATGAGTAGCCAGCTTAAATTAAAGCTTTTACTAATATGTTTCAATTTCCTTGCAACCAGGAAGGAGCAATATTGGTTAACTGATTTGGTTGGCTTGTAACTGTTCAAACGAATTTGTAGCTTGAATTGCTTAGACAAAATTAGAACAAGGAGAATATTTGTACATGTCCTTCACATACAAAGATATATATGTGTGTGCGGGAGTAGTTAACTGATACTTTGAAGGCTCTGATGATTCACACGTGTCGTTGAATTTTCATATAGCTTTAGGCCTCAATTAAAACTACCTTTGTTTCGGAGCATGCCATCCAGACAAAACCTGTAATTAAGGGCAATGCAGGATCCCAAGTCACAAGGCAGATAGTGAGGCAGCAGAATGGGAAGTTGCCTTCCAAGTGTGGGGTAAGACACTGACGACAAAAGGCATGTTGGTTCTCGTGGAAAGTGATAAACAATGGGTAGTTTAGTTGCATTGCTCTAGTCATTTGTTTAACTTTATCAGAATGTATCTGTACCTCAGTTTCAAGTAATAAGACTTTGTTTTTTAAGGTGCAAGAAGAGAGTAGCATTACTCGAACATTAAATCCTGATTACATACGCAAATCTTGTTTCTTTTGCCACCCTTTAACTTTAATCTATGTTACAAGCTCAATCTTTCACAGGGTTTCATTGCTACACTGAAGTGTCACAAGTGTTTCAAATCTCTGTTTGCCCTGCACCTGTATGATGTGAGATCATGATTACAGTTTATCTAAGCTCAGTAAGACCAAGAAACGAAATTCGAAAATTAATACTAATATCTAGAATTCTATGTATTATTGTTGATTGATACTCGGTTTGAAAACCAAAAAAAAAATGCACAGAACAAGACATCTCAAAGTCTTAAAAAGGAATCTAAACCAATTCATAACCAAATAAAACATAAGTTTATGGGAAGATTTGTATGGCGTAATACGTTTAAGCATCGAGCCAACTTCAAACTAGCCATTTACCAGACCATCGAACTTGTCAGAACCAGCGTCTCAACATCTTATCTCCCACGTTTCTTACATGGACATCCCAGAATTAACATAACAAATCTCATTGAATTAACCTCTAATACGAGAAACAAAGGACAGGACACCGAATTAAAATCTCGGAGCTTTGGTTTTGAACTACCAATTGTTAATTCATTTGGGACCATAAGTGGGCAGTGCCCTCATCAGACCTCACCCAACCTTAAATTAGCTGCTGCTACAGATAATTCTATTCTTTCAAAAAGCATCCATTTATGTTTTGCTCGACAGACATGACACATGTATATCATAGATTCTCCATCCTACATTCCTAAAAACAGATTACCCATAACACATTTATATTATATATTTTTCATTTCACTTTGCCTCTAGCAACATAGACTACCCATGATTACCACAGTTTAAATTTGTACCACCACAGACAACGCACATGCTAGCAGAACACATACGGCAGCAGGCAAAATAATTCTTAAAGAGTAGAACATAATTTTAGAACGAGATAGAACTTTATTTAATATTAGCTGAGACGTTTCCAACCATTTCAGCACCACATAGCATCACAACCATTAACCAAGAACAGTATTTTAAAAGGAGTTTTGAAACTATTCGAGCCTTTTGCCACAGATTGGCAAAATTAGGACACAAGTACAACTTAGAAACCACCGACGGAGCGAAGGACAAGATGCAGGGTGGACTCCTTCTGGATATTGTAGTCAGCCAGAGTGCGACCATCCTCCAACTGCTTGCCAGCAAAGATCAACCTCTGCTGGTCTGGAGGAATCCCTCCTTGTCCTGAATCTTTGCTTTCACATTGTCAATCGTGTCTGAGCTCTCAACCTCCAGGGTGATGGTTTTCCCATCAAGGTCTTGACAAATATCTGCATCCCTCCTCTAAGGCGCAAAACCAAATGCAGGGTTGACTCCTTTTGGATGTTATAGTCTGCAAGTGTCCTCCATCTTCAAGCTGCTTCCCAGCAAAAATCAACCTTTGTTGGTCAGGTGGGATACCTCCTTATCTTGGATCTTGGCTTTGACGTTGTCAATTGGTGTCAGAGCTCTCCACCTCCAAAGTAATGGTTTTACCAGTCAAGGTCTTCACAAAATCTGCATTCCTCCACGCAGACGCAGCACCAAGTGGAGGGTTGACTCTTTTTGGATATTGTAATCTGCAAGTGTCCTCCCATCCTCCAACTGTTTGCCAGCAAATATCAGCCTCTGTTGATCTGGAGGGATACCTTCCTTGTCCTGGATCTTAGCTTTTACATTGTCAATGGTATCAGAACTCTCAACTTCCAAGGTAATAGTCTTTCCAGTGAGGGTCTTGACAAAAATTTGCATGCCACCACGGAGCCGCAAAACCAAATGGAGGGTTGACTCCTTCTGAATGTTATAGTCTGCAAGGGTTCTGCCATCTTCAAGCTGTTTTCCGGCAAAAATTAACCTCTGCTGGTCTGGTGGGATACCCTCCTTGTCCTGAATCTTCGCCTTCACATTATCGATGGTATCTGAACTCTCCACCTCTAAAGTGATGGTTTTCCCAGTGAGAGTTTTCACAAATATCTGCATGCCACCCCTAAGACGAAGGACAAGGTGGAGGGTGGACTCCTTCTGGATATTGTAATCAGCAAGGGTGCGGCCATCCTCTAGCTGTTTACCAGCAAAGATAAGCCTCTGTTGGTCTGGCGGGATCCCCTCCTTGTCTTGGATCTTGGCTTTGACATTATCAATAGTGTCAGAGCTTTCCACCTCAAGGGTGATGGTCTTGCCAGTAAGGGTTTTCACAAAGATCTGCATCTGTTGTCAATAAGAAACTCCGAATTAGTTTATAACATCCAAAATCCATATGCAGGAGCAAAAAAAGAACAACTTTTTCCCAAAAAGTAACCAATAACTAAGCGGTAAACAAGAATTACTACAAGATTTAATTTGGCATCGATTAAACACCACACATAACAAGATTACAACATTTTGCCATCCGTATTTATCAACAATAACACAAACATCATAATACATAAGTCATCATCCAAGCAGAATCGAAATCAATATTAACCAATCAAATAA